TGCACACGAATGCCTGGGCTCGTGTAAACACACCCGCCTTTGTCAGAGGGAGCATGGCTGGGGGCTCAGCCTTCCATGTGGGAATCGGGTAGCCCCAGATCTCCGCAGCTCTCAAGAGCAAAGGACATCTAGTTACCTTGCATGAAATTTTTAAAAGATTTTATTTATTTTTAGAGAGGGGGAGGGAAGGGGGAAGGGAAGGAGGGAGTGAAACATCAAAGTGTGGTTGCCTCTCATGCACCCCCTACTGGGGACCCAGCCTGCAACCCAGGCATGTGCCCTGACTGGGGACCAAACTGGCATTCAATCCCCTGAGCCACACCAGCCAGAGCTGCCCTTTTATTTTCCAAAAGAAACAGGCATAGACCACAAAGTCATACTGCTCGTCACATACAAAGAGGGAGGAAGCAGCAGTGGGAGGCAGCGCTTCTCTCTGCCAGGTTGGCCGCAGCCTCTGGAGCAACAAACAGTCTCTTCATCCTAACGGCTTGGCTTCCCATCTTTCATGCCCAGAGGATCAGCAAGATGACCGCCTCACCGGACAGACATTAGTTTGGTGTCTCTAAACTAATCGGTGTTGGATTTGTACAGTAGGAACTTTAAGGAGAAATAGAGCTCGTTCCTGCAACTTGGGAAGCTCCTTAATTTCTTACCCTCTTGTCCCAACAGCCAAGACGATGAATCCATCTCGGGGGACAAGGAAAATGCAGTATACACACACAATGGAATATTATTCAGCCTTAACACGAAAGCCTGTCCCAAGAGGGATGAACCTTAAGGACATCACACTATGTACGTGAAGTGAGGCAGGCACAGAGAAATAGCGCACAGCCACAACTGTGTGTGGAACCAGGAAAGGGGGACTCATAGAAGCAGGGAGTAGAATGGTAGTTGCTGGGGGCTGGGGGAGGGGAGATGGCAGTCAAGGGCACCAAGTGTGTTGTGCGGGTAAGTGGGTCTGGGATGTACAACATGGTGACTGCCATTAATAATGCTACGGTAATCCCCCCTTAAATGCAGAAATATGTCCCAAGACCCCCAGCGGACGCCTGAAACCACGGCAGCACCAAACCCTCTATGTTACGTTTTTCCCTACAATAGATACTTCTGATAAAGTTTAACCTGTGAACTAGGCGCAGTAAATGATTAACAATAGCCGATAATATCACCCTTGATGTGTGATGAGGACCAATGTGAATGTGACATCGCATCAGGGCCGATCAGGAGGGTCACCAAGCCGTGACACTTGACCCGGGTAACTGACACCGTGGAAGGAGGACGACTGTGTATTGCATATTTGAAATCTGCTAAGAGGATTGTCTGTTCTTACTACACACAAAAAGGAGCTGAGTGAAGAATGTGCTGACTAGCTGGACCGTGGCGATCATTTCACATGGCTCCTCTTACCGAACGCCACACTGCACGTGGCCAGGGTTCACTTGTCCATCACACCTGCTCGAAGGGGGGTAAGACCGTGGTCTGGGAGGAAAGGTGGTGCCCAACACAGTGGGTGTTCACTGCAGTTTTGCCGAGATGCCTGCTGAAGAGATTCTGTTGTGACCTGGAGTCCCCCCCTTTTCTGGACACTGCAGTGTACAAAAGGGACTTTAGGGGACAAGGCTGGACCGCCATGCTCACTGAGCACCCCCTTGACCCTCCAGCCTCCCGCTGGCTGTACACGGGTTCTGAGAAACCTGCCCCCGCTCTCCAGCCGTCCTTACCCCAGGGTCTCTCCCCACTGGCTTGTTGTCCCTTCACCTCACATCCTCCTTGCACACCTTGAGTCCCCACTCAGGCCTCTTCAACAGGTTCAATGCCTGTCGTGCTCTAACATCACCCACATTGCCACCTGGGCAGGGACCATGGTCACCACTCATTTCTGCAGTCCCTGGACTGCCCATCTGCCAGGACGCAAGCTTCCTGTCCAAGCTCTGGGCCATTGCCGCCTCCGCAGCACACAGCTCGGGATGCGTGGGCGGGACTGACCGTACCAGAAGTGACCCACTCACCCGGAATGGCTTACTTACGTTTCGCTTCTTGAAGGCAGGGAATGGTAAACCAACTAAACTCCAGGTTCCTGTACCACTGTCCCTGGCTAAGGCGACAGGGACTCAGTGTGCAGAAACAGCATCGCCTGAACTCAGTGGTTCACCCGCCCAGTGTCCAAACTGTCCACCCTGCCCCCCTCGGATGGATTCAAGCTGGAATAACCAGCTATGACTGGCAGGTACCAGCCGCAGGCCGGAAGCACCACCGAGATGACACAGCTGACTGTAGGAACAAAATTCAGCCTGCTTCACCGCTGGAGTCTAACCCCCAATTCCTGTCCTCCTTTGCGGTCCCACCAAAAGGGTCATCCTCACTGACACTGGGGCATGAGGGAGCACAGCAGTTAGACCTAGTGGGGGGCGGGGGGGGGGAGTGGCAGGGGAGACACAACCCGAGCAAGCCTGCCCTTTCTGACGGGGGCTGTGAGGGGCTGCAGGGCCGCCTACGGCAGGGCCAGGGACCAGCTTAGAGACCAGTCTGAGCGCTAAGTGCACCGCGGTGCTTGCTGAGACTGATGAGAGCGCGCCAAGACCCGCGCCTCCTGGCTGCATTTCCCAGGGCGCCTTCCTAAGCTCCAAGGGCCTGCCCGCGCCTCCGCAGGCCCCTGGCTCCCATCTACCGCCCCGTTCTACTCCGGAAACCCAGGCCCAACCCAGGAAGGCTGCAGTGACCACCAGTGGACTCCTGCAAGGCCTGGTCGTGGACAGGCGGCCGGGCAGCCACAGTCAGACCTGCTTCTGAACTGGTCTGAGCCCTTAAGTGACAGCGAAGGCGCAAGTGGTCAGGAGACCTTTTTCCTTCCCTAAAGCTTCCAGGTCAAAGGTTAAAAGGCGGACTCATATTGTAGTTGTCGCCAGCACAGTGCCCACCCCATGGACCTGCTCATTCCAGGACTTAATTTGACCAGCCCGCTACCTGCAGCCCCAACTCAGCCAAAAGCATCAAGTGAGGTCGCTTGTGCCACGTGCTCCAGTGAGTCAAACCAATTCCATCTCCACCCCCCTGGCTCAGCATGTCGTTTAAGATGGTTGTTTTATCCAAGACAACAAAAACCTTCACTACCTAAGTTACTTTAGGTACATGTATCAATCAGTAAATTGGTCGTTCTTATTTTTGAAAATCTCTGAAGATGTTTTGAGCCTGCCAGACCAAAAAACCCGCTCTGTAGGGGATTTTATAAATGTTAATCATGAACATGAGGAAACCACTTTTCCAAACACTTTACCCTGGGTCTTAACAGTGCTCCCTATGTATAAGTTTCGCCTTGTAATGAAATATTTCAACACACTGATGACACCAGGCTCAGGCTGGGTCCTGACCTGCTCTAGCTCACAGGAGGCAAACACAAAGCCCGCAGGCCCTCCACCTTGTTTCTACCCAGTGGCAGGGCCGAGGTCTTGCTTCAGCGTTCCGGAGCAGTTACATTCCCAGTCCTGAAACCACACTGGGCTCTCTGCAGGCCACCACGAGGCTGATGTGGGGCCCGGGGAAAATGAGTTGGACACCCCTGCTCTAATACTTACTAGGTTCACCATAACCGAGGTCTTCAAGTTTCCCCCCATTAGATACAAGACTTTAGAGTCGAGGACAAATGTCCCCCACTTGTTTAAACTGGATAGAAACGTATCCCTTCAAAATGATAATCTCTGCTACTATTTCACATTACTAGAGATTCAGAAAATCCAAGCAAAGTATAAGCAATATATTTTGCAGCAGTATTTTTTCCAATGACTTTTAAATCCTTTCCCACCCCATTAAACAAGCAGCTTCCAAAATTTAAGGGTTACATTTGAGTCAGAGTATCTGTTACACTTGTATTCTACACACACGCACACCCTTACATTGTTATCCAAGAGGTTTCATCCTCCTTTGGAGAAGAGGCTTCACATATCAGACTGTTAGCATCTGGTTCGAATTGGATAAAGCACAGCATATACAGCGATTCAAACCTTAAGATACTCTACTGGTGTTTAACTTCAATCTTAATTAAAATTTAATCAATTCTACCCATTGTATCTATGCATTTGAGTGATCCTTTCCTACCTTTATTTTTGGTAAGAAAGCAATCATTTAAGGGAAATTGGATGGTTGAGTAACTTTGGTATACTTAAGTACAGGAACGCTTACATGAGCAGAATAGCTCACTCCTTTGACACTCTGATTCTACAGTCCAGTGTCGCCCAGATCAAACTCAGGCCAGACTGACCATGGAGGCCACACGGAAGACTCCCAAGGAGTGACACCGCTTCTCTGGTGCAGAGAGTCTCCTGATTACTTGTCTGTGTCCTTGTACCCCTCACAGACATCGCTCAGGGAAAAAGCCATTAAAGCTGCAGTGCTCTCGCTTAAGTCCTTGCTTTTTGGCATCTTTAAAGCTTGGAAGTACTTAATAGCAGTGTGTAAATATAGAACATCTTCCTAGAATACCTTTACAATAACATCTAACATTGGAACAAAAGGTAATTAAATGCACAATCTATATTCATTTTTAATAGATCACTTTCCGTAAGCCCGTTATCATTTGTATGGCTTCATATGGTTTGAAAAGCTCTGTAACTAGCAGATGGTTACTTCAGCCATAAAATAAAAGCAACTACAGTTCTTAAAACGTCTACTTGGAATGTCTAAAACGCGTACCGCTTTTGCTCTGGCAGATCACATAATCCCAAACAAGCTCTTTGTAAGGGACACTACCTAGCCAGAAAGCAGGTGGGAATATTTCAGCTTAACTGCAGACAATATTTATACCTCTTAACTTACCACATAAAATATTATTGACCTGTCATTTCATCTGTGTAAAATATGATTCAAATGTACAAAAAACCAGGACAGGGAAAATTGGATGGAGCAGACTCCACAGTGACTACAGTGAAGGCGATCAACAGCAACAGCACAGTTGTCCTTGTCAGCGGTCTCAGAATGCCTATTAAACAAGGGAGGAGTTCACTTGCTTAGATATTTGAAATACAACTTTATTCTGGTTCTAAACGAAAGGAATGGGAATGACAGTTAACAAACAAAGTTTCACCACTGAATATTGTGATGCGGCTGCAGCAGTCTTAGAGTGGAAACTCAATAAAGAAACAACTGCGTTTCAAAACAGCTAAGTATGCAGGTCCAACAAATGAAGGTATTTTTAAACTGCCACACTCACTCCGAAGCCCATTCATCTCTGTCAGCATCCCAAAGATCAAGCACAGGTTCTGCTCAGCTATATAATAAAGTGGCAAACACGCCGCACCACTGACATCACAGGACAGCTGCCTATAAAACTAGACTTCTGACGCTGGGCTCCAGCTTCCCTTTCTCACAGGTCGTCGTCCTCATCCGGGAGAGCGGTGGTCTGGGCGACCTGGGGAGAGAGATGGGACACGGTGACACTCCGGACTGAGGCCAGCAGGAACACACCGCCCTAATGGCATCACCTGAAATGCAAACACGCACCTCGAGGTCGTGCTCATACTGCGCCGCCAACGCTGGGTCCATGACAACCTCCGGAGGGGCGAGAGCAGGCATGGCAACAAACTCTAGGTTAGGGTCTCCGATCAGTTTTCTAGCAAGCCAGAGGAAGGGCTTTTCAAAGTTGTAGTTGCTTTTGGCAGAAATGTCATAGTACTGGTAAAGAGAGAAGTAAAGTTCTACTTAAATCATTATTTTAAGGTATGTTTTGAGCGAAAAAATAAAATACGGTTCAATCGACACACATCTCTGAACCACATTAACGGCCCCGCACTGTAGTTTCACCTGAAGGTTCTTCTTTCGGTGGAAGACAATAGATTTTGCTTTGACTTTCCTGTCCTTAATATCCACTTTGTTGCCACACAGCACGATGGGGATGTTTTCACACACTCGTACCAGATCTCTGTGCCAGTTAGGCACGTTCTTGTAAGTAACTCTCGAAGTGACATCGAACATTATAATGGCACACTGGGCTGAAAGACAGATTCACAGTAATTAGTACATGACCAGCATTTCACTACCTGGACGGAAAATACTTAGAAACTATGAATTTGAACGCATAGTCTCAGAACAAAGTCTAGATCATCTAGAAGTCTCTCAATTTCAAGATCTCTTCCAATTCTTAAATCATCACAACATTCAACTATGTTTAAAATTCCTGTTTATTCTACAATACATGAAAGTGTGAAACAGCAGTTTGTGAAGCAGCAGATCTGAGTGTCAAACCCTATCAAATCTCTTCCTGTAATATTTCATTACTGGTCTACCTCACCCCCAAAAAGTATCCAGAGTTAAGTAAAAGACAAGCGAGCATTCCAGAGAACTCACCTCCATCATTACAAGGATCTAGAAATGAATTCAAGACCCTCAAGTGGCTGAATACACTAGGATATTTCCTGCCTGTTCTAGAAAGGCAGGTAGGTTCACACAATGACCTGTAGAAACAGTCACCATCAACTTGGTAAGAGGACAAGCCCCAGTGGGCGCCGCCCAGTAGGTTTTTGGCTGAAGAAATCTGCAGGTGCCCAAGGAAAGCTAAAGGCATGGAAAGATCCCCAACAATCCGTTGACAGAGTGAGACCACAGGAAGGTCATTTTCTCTGGTGGCTTTTGTTTGGTATAACGGCAAACACTTATTTCCTTTGCAATTTTTAAAACAAACATTTTTAAGGGAAAAAAGTATTTTGTAAAATTCAGTACAATTAAAAAGAAGTCAGGTGGCCTCACACCACTTGTGACAGACCCTGCCCCTTCATCCGGCCCTTAGTCCGTGTTCTCCGTCTTCATGGCTAATGGCATGGATGACAATCACTGTACCCACCAAAACATACCCAAGCTCAGTTCCCACGCGCTGAGGCTGCACCCAGCTTGTCTGCTGGTTACTCTCAGGAAGTTACAAGCCTCACTATCAACCACTCATTTCTAGGGTGCCTCTCAGAGCCCAGCACCCCACCGACGACCCCCGGGAACCTGCACCCCATCCCGCCCCTTCCTGCGCAGGTGTCCGCAGAGGCCCACCTTGGATGTAGTAGCCGTCCCGCAGCCCGCCGAACTTCTCCTGGCCCGCCGTGTCCCACACGTTGAACTTGATGGGCCCTCGGTTGGTGTGGAACACCAGCGGGTGGACCTCCACGCCCAGGGTGGCTGCAACAGCGGCACACACGTTAGTCCCCAGCCCGTGCGCCGCCCCACGCGCCCGCTCCCGCCCGGCCCCACGTACCTACATACTTCTTCTCAAATTCACCCGTCAGATGGCGTTTCACGAACGTGGTCTTCCCAGTCCCCCCGTCACCAACCAACACGAGCTATTGAGAAACAGCACTGAAATGAGCCCAGAACACCGACCGCTGCTGGACCCCAAACCGCGAAGCCGCGGGCTTTCTGGACCCCGCTTCCCCGAGGAGCACTCCCACTGTCCCGCAGCCACTTCAAACAAAGGGCCCGAGGGACGCGGCCCCGCGCCCTCACCGCGTCCAGGGGCCCAGGGAGCCTCCGCCGCGAAGGCCCGCTGGCCGCCGACAAAGCCAGCACCGCCCGCACCGGGAGGAAAACCCGTCTAATCGAGGCGCTGCACACGAGCCCCCGCGTCCCCGGGGCCGCCCTCCCCCCGGACCCGGGCGCTCCCCGCCGCCGGCGCCGCTCCGAGGACGACATACTTTGAACTGAACTTGGGGTTCTCCTTGGGCGGCCATGGCGATGTGACTGCGGAACAGAGAGGAAGGGATCAGGCCCAGCGCACGTGACGGGCGGGCCCACGTGCCGCCCACAAAGGCCGGCGCCCCGAGCCCCCCACTCGCACACGCGGGCAGGGCGGCGGCGGCACGCGGACGCGCAATGGCGGCGGGTCCCCGCCTGCTCATTCAGCGCCGGGCCTGGCCGCGCGCCCGCGACACCGCCGCTCGGAGGTCGGCCCGCGGAAAGCGCCTGGTCACGCGGCCAGGCCGGGCCTCCCTGCCCTGCGCTCTCGCCCCCCTCGGCCCGTCCCCGCAGCCCCGCTGCCTTGCCAGGGCCCCCGCGCTGGGGCCCTGGCCCACGGCCTCCGCCACTGGGGAGAAGAGCCCGCGCCCGCCCGCCCGCTGCCGCCTGGGCCTGAAGTAACCGCCCGCTCACAGCCGCCGCTCGGCTCGCCGCCGCGACGACCCAGCCCGGCCCTCGGTCACCGCCCTCGGCCCTGGCCCGCGCCCCCGGCCCTCGTTCCCGGCCGCTGGTCCGGCCCAACCGCCGCCGATACCTTCCAGAAGCGTCTCCCGGGCCGTCTGACTGAGAGTTGGAAAGATGGCGGAAGCGCAATTCAAATGCCCGGAGACGCAGCCGACGCCGGCGCGCGCTGGAGGGGCGGGGCAACGGCGCCGCGCCGCTCCCACGTGGCCTGGCGCGCGCGCGCACGGACTCCGCCGGCCGCACCCGTCTGCGGGCGTGCGGGAAGGGGCGGAGGGCAAGGCGGGTGAGGAAGTCGGGGCGGGAGCGCGCACGCAGGCGGCTGGCGAGCCACGTGGGCCCTCCCCTGGGAGCGGCTTCCCGCGCGCGCATGCGCTGACGGGAGGTGGCGCGCCCAGAGGCCGCTTTGGTCACAGACCTGGGAGGGGTCACGGGGGAGGGGCGGAGTGGGGGACCCTTGAGCGGGAAATGCTACGTAGCGGCCCTCACAAAGCCCATAGGCCTCACGCACGGACTCGGGCTTGGCAGCCCCTGTCTGCAGCATGGTCGATGGCAGTCCCCTGTCCCCGCCCCTGGGTCTCCATCCTTGGATCTCCACCTTGTGAGGGCATGATCTAACTGGCCAGAAGGCTTTGTGGCCGTTTCCTGCAAATAGAGTGATGACTTTGGGGGTTTTCACCCTTGGCCGCCCATGCTAGTTGCCAACCTGTCCATGCAGTCCATGACTAGGTTCCAGACCCTTGAGATAAAGCTATCAGGTCCAGACAAGAGCCGGCCACTCAGAAGTCACCCGCTCCTGGGATGCCCACCTTATTGGGCCATCGTGGCTAGAAAATGAGATGAACCACAAGCTCAACAAGTACCAGGTCGCTTTCGGGAAAGTGGGCCAAATGGAGTCCTCCACTCTCCTGTCCTAAGTCTGAGGCCAGTTTTCGGCGTTTTTATAGGGGCAGCCCCAGATCTTCAACTGATGCCTTGGTCCCCCCTCCCAAGCAAGCATCCTCAAGTGGCAGTAAGAGCAGGCAGCCAGGAGCCTCATCAGAGTAGTCACGGTCCTCAGAAAAGGTCCATGCGGACTCCCCGCTCAGGAGAATCCAAATGACCGAGAATTTAGCCATTGGTCCTAAGCGCACTTGCAGGCAACTCCTTTGGGAACCTAAGTGACGCAAATCAGGCACAACCCCGGTGAGCATCTGCCTGCTGGGAGCTCAGTGAGGGTGCCCCAAAGGACCCTTGGGAAACACCAAGGAGATCAGCCTGCTGCTGGTGGGAGTGTAAACTGGCTTGGCTTCTGGGAGAGCAGAAACTAATAAAACACAAATGCCCAGAGCTCACGGCCCTGTGTGTCATTTCTAGGGAGGTGCGTTGGAGTTAAACTCCCACTTGCACAGGGGGAGACCGGAATTGTAATGCTTGCTGTGACATTGTAATAACAAAAAATAGACCTTACTGAATGCTCACTGTGACATAATAAAATGGGACTTACAGAAATATCCAATAGGGAAATGTGTAAGTAAAATATGTTCTATCTATATTACGCTATAGTATAGCATATGAAAGGAATAAAGTTCATCTATGTCACAAGAGTAGTAGATCCCAAAAGGATGATGTAGAGAAGTGAGTTCAAAAAAGACATGAAAAGTAGCTTTATATAATCTAATAATCCAGAATTTAATTTTATATAGAGAAATTATATATAACTGTATATGTATTTTTTAAAATTTATCTTTAGAGGGGAAGGGAAGGAGAGAGGGATAGAAACATCAATGTATGGTTGCCTCTTGTGTGTCCCCTGCTGGGAACTGGCCTGCAACCCAGGCATGTGCCCTGACTGGGAATCGAACTGTGGGTGCTTGGTTCCCAGGCCCGCGCTCAATCTACTGAGCTACACCAGCCAGGGCTGTATATGTATTTTTTACAAACACATGAAACCTTGTTATTTCTTGGGTCTATATGTAAATTTGGACAAGTTGCCTGCAAGCATAGACACTGGATTCTGATGGCCATTGCTTCCACCAATGGCGGGAAGGAGGATGATGGAACCAGGCTGAGAGGGCAAAGAAGACCTGAGCTGCCGTGTTGTAGTGTTTTTAAGGCCATGGAAGCAAATGTGACAATCCATTAAGCATTGTGTAATTCTGGGTGGTGACAACGCCAGTGCTTATACCTTCAGTATTTAAAAAGTATTTCCACCAAAATACCAGGGGGAAATATTTCAGACCAAGAATAATAGCTGTTCTCACACCCAGCCTTCTGGGTGGTTTGTTCCTTAGCTGCGGGTGTCTTTAACTGGCCCAGTCCTACAGCTTCTAAAGATCATCATCTTAAGGACCACAGTGAAAAACAGAAAAATGCACTCAAACTGGCAGACAGAATGCTTTCCCAGTACAACTGCCCGAGCTCTTCCGACTGCTGAAGGTTTAGTTCACAGAGGCGCTTGCTCATCTTTGCTGTCCAACATGGACTGAAAACCCATGCTTAACCTATAGTTCGAAATACTGCCACCAAGCACACAAAGAAATGTGTGCAGAAGTACAAAAAAAGTTGCAAAAATAGCATAGGGGATTTCAGCATTCATTACTGCTAATGTCCCCAATTCTTGACATTGCTTACTTTATCATCGGCTTTAGCATTCTCTCCTTGTCTCCTGTCTCTCTATATACATTTACACATATAATATAAATTTACATGATATGTATATATATATATGATTTCTAAATACATCATATATAGTTTTCCCCTCCGAAGTGTTTGAGAGTAACTGCAAACGGGGTGCCCCTCAGTGTGTCGTTCTTAAACCTGAGGACATTCTGTTACGTAACCGCTGTACACATCGGAATCAGGAAGTCCACGTGGTTGTATCACAGGAGCTAATCTATTGACTTCACCACTTGTCTCCCTCTTCTCCTTTATCTGGTGTGGGATCCACCCAGTTTTCACTTGGTTCCTTTGACTCTCCCGGCGCCGCAGGCACTTTCAATCCTGAATAGCACCTTTGCCTTTGTAGTTCATGACCTTGCCACTTTTGCTGCGCATTCGGTGGACCAGCTCTGTTGGAGAACGTCCGTCCCAGTTTGGACTTGTCTGATACTTGCTCAGGATGAGATTCTGGCTGTGCAGCTGCGGGGTTGGGACAGCACAGAAGTGGTGTCCTGTGTCTCTCAGCCTCTTATCAGGAGGCGCAGAGGTGTCTTCGTAAAACCAACCTCCCCTCTGCAGCTCTGCAATGGTCACGTGTCACTTAGACACAGGAACTCCATGGCCACTCGGGTCCTACATGAGCTTGCTTGTGCCTGCTTTCCTGCCCTGCTCAGGCCTGTCACTCTGCTGTAGCCACACAAGCCTTTATGATGCTTTCCTTGGCCAAGTTTGTTCCTGCCACAGGCCCTTTCACTTACTGGTCTCTCTGCCTAAACGGCATTTTGCTCCACATCCTCGCCTGACTGGCTCCATCTCACCCTGCTGGTCTCAGCGCAAAAGTCACCTTCTCAGGTGGACATACCCTGACCACCTTTTGGGACAAGCCAGCCATTGCCATGTCAGCCCCTGTTTCATTTTCTCCGAGGCTCTCACTGCTCACTGAAAATATCTTCTTAATCACTTACTGGCTTGCTTTTTTATCTTTTCCTCATTAGAATAAACAAAGTACATTGTCCGGCCTGGTATTCAAGGTATCTAGCACAGCACCTGGCATGTAAGCTGCTCAGTTGGTATTTGTTGAATTGTCCAGTGAATTATTCTTAACCCCAGCTGAATACAGAGAGTAATCGGAAAGCAGCATTGTATTCTAATAATAGTAATAATAATAGTGGTTTAAATATACACACTTCTTAGAATTTTAATGATGTTATCTCATGTTGGAGACTAATATTGAGCAAATTGTCCCTTTACCAAATACAGGGCTAAGCTTTTCTATTAGTGTCTTTGCCCTAACTTTGTTGAGTTTGCAAACCAATAAGGGAACTGTTCCTGAGGATTTCATTGTCTGATTCATTCATCAGTCTAGCTGGTGATGTTGGTAACTTATCAAAGGAGATACGTCCCTTATCTGACACTCAGTTTTCTACACAGGGAATATGTCCAGGCGGCGATCGCATGCCACTTTTTAGCGTTAGCATGGAAATCATTTTCATTAAAAGGATAGATGGAGAGATGTCATAAATTCATGCCGTGTAGTCTCTTTCATGTAAAGGTCTGTACTGTGCCAGGGATGCGGTCCAGCTGTCGGGGGTGTGGTTTGCCCTGTTCCGGAGAGGGTCACGCCACCCTCTCTGTCTGAACGAGGCACCGATATTTTAAAACGTGATGGTCTTGAAATAAGTCCACCAGTATCCCTGATGCTTCTCACTGCAAAAGGCTACTTCTCCCTCCTCAGGTGTGGGTTGAGTCAGTGACTCCTAACAACGGGAGCATTTCCGAATGGACAGCAGGATGGCTGAGAAGAAGTCGCGGAGGTTCTGCAGCTTCCGCCGCACTGTCTGTGATCGCTAACTGTGGACAAAGCCAGTGACCCTATTGTGGGGACAAGCACAGCCCCACGGACCAGTTCTTGTGATGTGGAACTGTGGCCCCCCTCAAAGAGCCACCTGAACTTGCCAGCCATCATTGGGCCTTGCTGGGAGCCACTCCTCCAGCTTCGGTCACGCCTCAAATGGCTGCAGCTCCAGCCTGTGTCGTACCTGCAGGTTCATGAGACCCGAGGCAGCACTTCCCAGGTAAGTCTCTCCTCATTTCCTGGCTTGCGGGAACTCTTTGAGATAATACTGCTTATTACCATTTCAAGCTATTCTCTTCTCATGTAATTGGCTATGCAGTAAAAGATAGCTAGTACAAAATATTAGGTGGTTTTGCATAAAAATCTAAATGTCCCGTTTCTTTAAAAAAATCAGGATTGGAAGGTATTGGGCCTGATTTTTTGCCTGGAGGTAAATAGCCACTGACCCTCCCCCTAACCCCCCCCCCATACACACACCAGATGAGGCCGTTAGACTCTGGCTTTGCCATTCCCCATTAAACCTCAGACAGGAATCCTAGTGTCCTTTGGCCCTGGTCACCTGACACAGCCTGCTCTGCTCACTCATCTGTCTGAGTTCTGAAATGTTTGAGCTCACAAGCTCTAGTTTACTGAGTCTAAGACACAGTGATGGAAAAATGCAGACTCCTTCATCCATTCAGGTAATATTTATCGAGCACCTACTATGTACCAGGTGCTCTCTAAGGACTGGGGCAGTGACGAAACAGACCTGGCCTCCCGGAGTTTTCATTCTAGAAGGGAGACACAGGAAACAGACCGGTAGGTGAGTGAAACATATGAGACAGCCCTGATTGCGAAGGTGAACAACGCAGCAGGTAAAGAAGATGCGGGATGTCAGAGGAAGGGGTGACAGCGGTGGAGTGGTGACCAGCAGGCCCTCCCTGACCCAGTGACATCTGAGCCCAGACCTGCTGAAGGGGAAGGAAGGAACCACACAGATAGTTGAAGGGAGCCCGACCGGCTAGTGCAAAGGCCCTGGGGCAGACCTGGCCTGGAGTTATTGGGACAACTTGCAAGGAGGCGTGTGGCCAGAGAGACAAGCTCCTGGAGGCCGGGAGGGGCTGGCATTCTGGCTGGGTGTCTGTGTAAACAAGTGCCCGAGGGTGAGCGCAGAGGGCCCCGGTGTTAAGGACAATGGTGGCTTCTTTTTAGCAGAAGGGACTTTAAAAGCAGACTCATGGCAGTTCGGGGTAGGACAGATGCTCTCTATGAAAGAAGCTTGCATTCTGTGTCCCATGTCACTGCAGGAGAGTCTGGTGTAAGAAAAGTGGATAGAAAATGTCACGAGGACACAAGAGCATATAATGAGACATAGCAGTACTTTCTGGAGGTTGGGAAAGGCCTCGGATGCTTCCTAGTATCTACGTATCTATCTTTAGATATCTACATATTTATATTTACCTCCAGATAAAGCAAGATAGATATAGACCTAGAATCCATATGATACATAATATAGTATCTGTGTAATATCTATGTCTACATAGGTAGAGTAGTTATATCTATATACAGATAGAAGTGTTTATATATGGACATATAGATACATACATGATTTTGAAAGTATATGTATAAAAATTCCAGTATATATTTTTGCAGGGTTTCAGAATTCAGGCATGTTTTCAATGCTTGCTTTTACTAAACTGGCTCTTATAAGACACAGTGCTCACCATCGCGACATAAACAGCACTCCTCATAAGGTAATTACAGGGTGCACTGGTTCACCGGGGCCACCACAGCAAAATACCACAAACTGGGTGCCCGAAAATAACAGAAGTTTGCTCTGTCACAGTTCCAAAGTTCCCAAATCAGGGTAGTGGCAGGGTGGTGAGGGCTCTGGGGAGGCTGCCCCAGGCGTTTGTCTCAGCCTCCGGTGCTACTGGGTGTGGACGCATGGCCGCAACGTCCTCTTCTGACAACAAACACCTTCTCCCTGCGTCCTCACGTGGCTGTCCCCCTGTGTGTGTCTGTGTCCGCACCTGCTTTTCTTAGAAGGACCCCACCCTACTGACCTCATCTTAACTTGGTTACCTGTACACACTTACACAAATTCACGGTCGGCTTTGTTAGGACAGCTGAGAGCTGGGTGCAAGCTGGATGTCAACCCCCACGGCTCGTCTCCCCAATCGGATGGAGGCTGGCGGTGCACGGGGCGGTGTGTCTTCCCACAGTACTGTCCACCTCGTCTGGTTGTCACCCCACTCTGACTCCCATGGTATTTGAACCTGCCACTACCTGGCAGTGGTAGGTGGTGACATGCTGGTGTTTTTTTGAGCTTTTTTCCACTAAAATGATGTGGGGTGCATATCCCTAACCTATATATTCGCATGCTGGGCTTTTATTATTATGGTATGTCAGATTCCTTAAGAGGAACTGTAGGTCGAAGGAATGTGTACGTCCTATTTCTGTTTTCCTGGAAGTTGGAGTCTTGCTTTTCCTGATTAGCGGGGATATGTGCATCTTTTCATTCCTGAGTACGCTGTCAACCCCTAAGTTGGAAGTGGCCTGATTGAGGCACATCAAGTCTTATTTCTTTTTTTCTGGGATAATATCAATGCTAAACTGAAAGTCGTGAGTTATATGCGCCAAGGATTTCATCCTGTTTTATTTTCATTCCCACAAACTAATACATTAAATCATTCTTTGAAAAATAAGCCAAAGGTATGTGTAGAGTTCAGAACAGTGGCTGCCACAGGTGTCCAAGGAGACTTTGCCTCTGTCACCTTCCCTGGCAAAGAGGCTTTGCCGCTGTGATTAACAGGGGACCTGCAGGTGCAGACGTCACCCAGGTGGGCCAGTCTGATCACACGGGTCCTTCAAAGTGGAGGACTGGCTGTGGTCTGTGGAGAAGATGTTCAGTGAAGAGGGGTCACTGCGATGCTGCTCGGTGGGCTTCGGAGACGAGGTAGGGGCCACGAGCCACGGAATGTGGGCGCGTCCAGGAGCTAGAGGAGGGAAGGAAACAAAGTGTTTCCTGGAGCCCCCAGAAAAGGCCGACTTTAGCCTGCTGAGATATCTGACCCCAGGACCGTAAGATAATACATTTGTGTTATTTTAAAGCACCAAGTTTGTGGTGATTTGTTACAACAGCCACAGGAGGCTAACTAATACATGAAGCTATTTCCAGATCGTGTGTTGGGCCCCATCTTTAAAAGGGCAGCTTACTTACCCTGGCCAGCTGGCTCAGTTGGTGAGAGCACCATCCCAATATGCCAAAGTTGTGGGTTTGATTCCTGAATAGGGCACATACAAGAAACAACCAATGAATGTATAAATAAGTATAAATAAGAAACAACAAAGCGATGTTTCTCTTTGTTCCTTCCCCCCTCTCTCTCATCGATAAATAAAAATTAAAAAATGGGTAGCCTATTTCTATGCTAATGCATTTCCAAAAACCTTAAACGCTTCACTCTCGTTTAAATTTACATTCCATATGCATGATCAAAAGACAGTGAATTCTAACTCGGTCTCCAACTTACGGCGAGAACAAACACTGCTGTGGTCAATTGACAATCACTCTCAATTTTTCAGGGGTCTGAATTGAAATGGACTCTTAAAATTTCCCCTACTATCACATTATGTGCAATAAAAATAAATTAAATTAGAACCACAGAATTTTAAAATCGGCAGGAATCTTGCTGGCAATCAAACCCAAACTCTGCTCTCCTGGCCACAAGTGTCATTCTGGGCAAGCTATCTGAAACCTTTAAGCAATAGGTTTCTCTTTCCGGGGGGGGGGGTGATATCGCAGGGGTCATGAGAGGCTGAGGTGGAGCACTGTGTGTGTAGCCGAGCCCTTGTAAACCGAAGCCATTAGTATACCTGAGAGAATGTACTCATTCTGCAAACGAAGCATGTACATTTCACCACGCAGAACTTTTTCATTCATTCAGCACGTTTAGGAAACACCTCGTATGTGCTAGGTTCCATCCCAAGTGTCAGGGAAAATTGGTGAAGTGGGCAAAAATCCCTGCTCTCAGTGGATTACAGTAGCCCGTTCTTATCTGCGGGGGTCTGTCGTTCCAAGACCCCTAGTGGATGGTTATCCTTATACCTACATTTACCTATGATACCATTTAATTTTATAAATTAGGCACAGTAAGAGATTAACAACATAATAAAATAGAACAATTATAACAGCATGCTGTAGCAAAAGATGGGGACGCGTCCTCTTGGTCTCTAAACATATCGTTGCGCTGGACTCACTCTTTCCCTTAAAGGAAGCACTTCAGGGCTTCCCTTCGGCAAGTCCGAACCGTCAGTATCACAGATCAGGCACGAAAACTCTGCACATTCCCACCTCACGCCATTTGGAGTTCTTAAACATTGTCCCTTAAATATTGTGTGCATTACTTAGCCTCGTCTCCTTTATGCACAAAGCCCTGGTGTGGGTCCTAAGGCGAAGGCTTGTTCAGGGTATATACAAAGCTGCACCCAGCTCATTTCCGTAGCCTGGCTACATCTGTCATCGAAATTGTCACAACTTTTAAGAAGAAAGAAAATGAGTCCTGGCTGGTGTGGCTCACTGGATTGAGGGCTGGCCGGTGAACCAAAAGGTTGCTGGTTCGGTTCCCAGTGGGGACACATGCCTGGGTTAAGGGCCAGGTACCCCAGTGGGGGCCTGCCAGAAGCAACCAATTGCAAATGGATGCTTCTCTCTCTTCCTTTTTTCCCTCCCTTCTCCGCTCTCTAAAAATAAATAAATGAAATCTTAAAAAAAAGCTTTTATTGAATGTAGAAAGCACAAACACAAGAACAAATCAAGAAGGGTCAAATGGTACATCCACCTGGCCCGGCCAAGAGGCCATCAGAGTACAACTTGACGTCGCCCCTGCCCAGTTGCGGGAAAGACCCCGCCCCTCCCCACCAGGCCCCGCCCTCTCCTCCGTACGTCCCGGCTGCTTCCCTTCCTCAGCAGGTACCGCCCCCTTTCCCCAGACCCCGCCCCCGTCAGGCCCCGCCCCTCCAGCCGCAGCATTCCCGCTGGAAGGCTCCCGCAGGCTGCGAAGTCCCCGCGCGGCGCGGGCCGGGCATGCGCAGAGCGTGCGGGCGCGGTTGCCGTGGCAGCGCCGGCCCGAGGGGAGGCGGCGGGCGGGCGGGCGGGCGCGGCTCAAAGCCCGGGGACCGGCAAGCTGAAGCGGCAGCGCGGGCAGGCCTGAGCGGCGGGGCGGGACGCCCGGCCCGCGGGGATGCGAGACCGGCTGCCGGACCTGACGGCGGTGAGCGGCGGGCGGGCGGACGGGCAGATAGCGGTTCGGGCAGGGCCGGGCGAGGTGGGCGGGGCCTGCCGGGGTCACTGCTACGGTGGGCGTCCGGGAAAGGCCGGGGTGGGGCGGCCTCGCGGGATCTGGGGGTCAGGGTGCGGCGCGCGGCGGAGTCGGGGGGTGCCGCGTCCGCTGTGTCCTGGGCGCTCCGACAACCGAGGGGCCGCGCTTCAACAAACGGGAAAGCTGAGTTTTGCGGGGACTCCCGGACGGTGTCGGGGCCGGGCCTTGAACCCCTATTATGAGCCGCCCTCTGCCGCCCGCGGGCTGCGTTCTGCCCTACGTCGCTTGGTCACGCCGCCCTTCTCTGCTGGGTGTCCGCGCCACGGAGCAGAGTGCGACCGGGGCCTTGCAAGTGCTGGGCGCTCTGGGGTCGCGGCGAAGCCCCGCTCGGGCCGGCACAGCCATGTGGTCGCCTGCCGCTGTGCGCTGTCGGCGGGTGGGGGACCGGCCGGCGCAGAGCCTCTCCTCTGCTGCCCGAGTAAACAGTTTGCTTTCCGCGAGCCGGGCTGTGTTTGCCCAGCCGCCAGCGCGCCCGCCGCGGGGGTGTCGGTGCCCGGGGAGACGTGTCGGTGAGTTGCCGTTTACAACAGTGAGGAGCGGGGCCGCCAATGCTTTGTACGTGTCACAGGTGACCACTGCGGATGACACCGTCTCCGCGACACCGAGGTGGGTGCCGAGAGAATGAGGACGAGTTAAAAACACAAGCATTAATGAATGCCGTGGTAACGTTTTGTTTCCCGATGCGCAAATAGAGTCTCAGCGCAGGCTGCTAGGCCCAGCGCCCTCGGCAACCGTGGCCAGGGCCGGCCAATGAATCACCTTCTCTGCTGGGCTCCTGGGCTGCAGCCGGTCACTTGTCCGCCGTGGGACAGTGAAGAGAAGGGGCGCTGCGGCTGTCCCTTCGTGCCTTGGGGGTCCTGCGAGGATCCCCGGGTCAGAGCTCCGTGAGCCAGTTCATGACCCCGGGTCAGAGCGATAGGACCCAGGGTCATGAAAGTTTTTCTGCTTGTATTGCGAGACAGTTTCTTCACGGCGATTTTTCTTTCCTTCCCTTTTTATCAGCTCTAATATTTTGACATCTGCAGAACCAGTGAGCAACAGGTTAAACAGCAAGTTACTGTCGTTACTTCACTCTGGAAAAGGCCCGCGGAGCCGAGCGAGGGGGTGCTTAGGTGCTCGTTCAGGGCGGACTCGCTGAGGCTGGCTCAGCGCCACAGCTATAACCGTTTGGTGGAACCCGGCCAAATTGGTGTGCTGTCGGGGAATTGTGAGAAAGACTTGTCAGTGGAATACGTAAGCAGCCTTTCTTGGTTTGATTAGCAAAACATGCAAAGGCAGTGGTTTGTCACTCTTTATGTGTGTTCCAGCCCCCACTGCAACGTGCAACGTGTGACCTGTTGTGACCTAGAATTGTAGAGGTACAGGTGGCTGTCCAGTACCATCCTGCTCTGGATGAAAGGCTGAGTCATTGTAGAGCCAATTAGTGGGTTTTCTACCTGCTGGGAAATGATTTTAAGACACTCAGAACTTCAATTTCCCTGTATATAAAATAGGGAGCATAATGTCTCTTGTCAGCCCTAGAGGGCGCTGTGAAACATAGGCTGACCTCTGCTGCTCCGGGAGAAGGTGGGGAGAGAGAACGCCATGTAATTATAAGTGCTATTAATATTTTTAGTTTTTAAAGAATGTTTTCAGGAGGTTATAAAGAGCAACCTTCCCTCTACTATAAAATATTAAGTTAAAACTGAATTTGACATGCTTGAAGTTTAATAACTTAATATTTAAAAACACATCTGAAAGTTACCAGGTATAAGAGTTAAACATCCCCCGCCCCCCATGAAATGTGTCCTTTCCAAGTAGCTCTTGGAGTAGTTGAATGTCTACTCACAAGTGTGTTTCTAATTGGCTGGTATTTTTTTTCCAGGGTAACATTTAATATTTAATTTTTAGTAGTTAAAAGTACCTCATCAATGGTTTCTGCACCGACAAAATGTTTGTGATGCCTCCCAAATATTACTAACTGTTGCTGCTTTCTCGTGAGAAAGAGATGGTCACTAGTAAGTATTTGGAAAGGCTTAACTGGTTTGTCCAGAACAATCTGTCAAGTGTAGTTGCATCTAACCAATGACTCTCTTTTTAAGCCACCAGTTTGCTTGGGTGCCCGAACTTTAAGTGATTTGCCCAACACCTCCTAGACTCTAAGTCCAGAAAGATGTTTCTGATTTTCAGAAAGTAAAATAACTACTCATCCACAGGGCCCTTGAGTGCCAGGTCCCAGCGAGGCAGTGGGCACAGTGCAGGGAGACCCCCGTGGGAGCCCGGTACGTGCTGTGGATGGACCGGGGAGGAAGAGTGAGGGAGGTGTAAGGAAATGCACGTTAGGATGTGAGTCCAAGTGGATTGGTGATTCTACAAGAAGTGACTCCAAAAAAGTTTTTTATGTAAACGGATATATTTATTATTTGTCGCAGTTAAGGACAGAGAGAGCACAGATTTCGGCTGTGGGGACTGTGCGCAGGGTGACATCCTGTGTGCAGGATGAGATTATTACTTTCATCCCTGAGTTCAAGGTGACAAGTTGCAAGTATAATTTTTAAAGGGCAGGAGAGACTGGCCAGGTATTTTTAGTTACTTTTTGACAGCTCAGATTGCATGTGTAGTGCAGAGTGTTATATAGTAAAGGTTCAGATTCCAGTGTACAATATAAAATGTTTTTTTTCCAACAACTTCACCGAAACTTAAAATAGTCAGAATTTTATAATATATTTATAACTTTATAAGTGCATATGGTTAGAGTTTAGAATTTCAGGGTTTATTCAGTCCTGCCAACATTTTACATTTTGTTTATCATCATACAGACAACTCCCACAGTTGAAACCTATAGTTTCTCTATTAAACATAATAAATATGTTCGCATGTATAATGTGTCCCTTTTTTTTAACGATAGCAGAACCTCCACATTCACACAGATTAGTACTTCCTGTTTTTAACCTCAAGTCCATTCTGAATTTCGGGAATAGAAAAAACCCAAGAGATAACCAGCATGTGAAGGGGTTTCCTCTTTAGCACAGTGCTTCCCACTGTCACCTCGGTCCTGTCACAAGATGCAGTTACCATTCCTGACAAGCCCTCCTACCCCCGTGGCTTTGCCCTTGCTGCCCCCATGGGAAGGCCACAGATGGCCACCTCCCTTTCTCTGCAGCCTCAGCCCTGGAAGCCTTCACAATCCCTTGCCCCTGACGTCCCCAGAAGTGGAACGTCTCTGAGCAGAGATGTGCTCCCTGTTTGTTCCTGCAGCCCCCAGACCACCCATCCTTTCCAGGGCAGACACGCACTGTCTGTGTGGCTGTGAAGCCTGTCAGGGTGTCGGCACAGAGCCTCCGCTCGGTGCCCGGTGAGTCGGTGTGCTCCCATTTGGAGACGCCTGCGGTAAGAAACACGGACCCGGCAGTGGCACCTGCTGTCTTCACGGCTCTCTGTGTTGCAAGGGAGAGTGTTGCACTCAGGGAGGGAGGTGTGTGAGGAGGTGGGCTGGTGCCCTCGGACCTACTGCGGAGTGAGATGAGGACCGATGGCAGGCCGGCTGGTCTGTCCCTTACCACCCGCCCGGTCTCTGTTCTCCATCTCGCTGTCCTTTCCTGTTGCTTTCTCTCGGCTCCAGCCCGCATCTCTGCTCTCAATTTGTTCAGCCAGCCTTCACTAAGGGGCACCGTTTCAGGCATGATGCTGAGTCTGTGCTCCCGGGAAGTGTCGTGAGCCATTTCCTGGAGTGGGCCAGAGATAGCTCAGCCCTGATTAGTTCAGTGTCTTCTGCAGGAACTGCTCTGGAGGCTGCGAGTCAGGGCTGCTGTGCACGGGGCAGCCAGGGCGCTGGCTCTGAGCTGAGACCTGCATGAGGTGTGTGGTCTGGGGAGCACGCTCTAGGCAGGGCAGCCAACCCCAAGGCTCAGAGGTGGGGACGGGGCTGTGAAGGGAAAGGTGACCAGTTTGGTTGTTGGTACTATGCAGAGGTGAGCAGTAAGGAGAAGTCTGTCCATGCACCCGAGGGAAAAAAGCCCACCGGCTTGCAGAGGGTCTGTGCAGGACAGGGCTTCCTCTGTGAAGCTGCAGTTCCCGTGAAGCAGTGTTTGTGTGTTACTAGTAACAGACAAACCTGTGGTGAAACATGAACAGCTGAACCAGTGTCACATGCTCCCACAGGGCACAGAACTGCAATTATCCAGAACTGTGAGGATGGAATGTTATATCTGGCACTGTAATTACAGGCTGGCCAATAGTCACCTTTTTATCCATATTAAATCACAAATATTCTTTTATTCAAATGATTTTATTTTGAAAAAAAAATGTATTCTAGCAGCAAAGGTACAATAACCACTGCGTGTGTTTCAGGCTCGGTGAGTTTATTTCCCCACCACGATCACTTGTGTGCAAGGCCCCAGGATACGTGTACGTGGAGAAAACAGCCAGTGTTCTGTCCAGCTTTGGGTCCTACTAGTTTGTGACGCTTCTGCTGCTGCTAAAATGTGCAGCGAGCATTGAACTAAATAGCACTAGTGTGGTGCTTGTATTCTGTGTTTCTTTTTTTTATGAATGGAAAAGCTAAGACAGTGTTCCTGGGTCTGTTTCCTAATACCTAACAATTCTGAGAATTCCAAGTAGAAATAAGAAATACAAGTAAAGGTGTAAAATGACAAATAAAGAGACAATAGAGGAAACATCCCATAGTCGCCCGGCTCGTTCACCGTCTACAAGTGGAGAAACAGGTGATCCAGCAGCAGGCGAGTGACCGTGAGTGGAGGTCCCGGCGGTGGGTGGGGTTCCGAGAGTCAGGGGAGCAGGGGGAAGTCCTTGGGGAAACTGTTCTGTTGGTCACCATCCCCCCTGGGCGCTGAGGTAGGGGCCGGTCTCTGTCCTGGAGGGGCAGGGGAGGTCATCAGCTTGGGTTTTCAGCCGGGTTGTACACTCAACAGGCGTCTGTCGTGGGGGACTTTTCCCTGGGGCGACCTGGAGTGGAGGGCGGGGCGCCGTGGGCCTGCCAGTGAGACAGGGTAGGGCAGTCCCTTCTGGGACCCAGGCCACCCGTGCACCGAGGGCGCGGTATGTTGTTCCTGTTTTCTTTTTCCTTCTTTCTTCCTTTTTAACATTTTATTTTCTTACATTTTAAAAGAACATTTTATTGATTAGGCTATTAGAGTTGTCCCACGTTTTTCCCCTCTGCCTCCTTATTGTTCCTATTTTCGTGTGCGTTTGTAACTGTCCATAGCAAACAGCCAGACAAACACAAGGCAGGCAGCTGTGAGCTGGGAATGACAGTCTGTGGAGAGACGGGGACCCCATGAGGGTCACGTGGGCAGATGCACTTCTCATCGCCCCTGTGTCTGGGCCACAGGGAGGCTTGCCAGCCTTCAGCGTCATGTGCCTGACCATCCTCTCCCCTCCCTGTGCTTATTGGGGTGAGTTGACAGTGAGGGGACTGCTCACGGGGTGGCCTTTCCCTCTTGATTTGGCCCCAAGCTGCACAAGACCCATCCTTGCCTTCAGAGACACCCTTACCCCAGATCAGAAGATGGACAGTGCAGGGGAATGTGACAGCAGGGCCCAGACCACATGGGTACGGAGCACACTGTTGTGGGGGTGAGGCCGCCCTGGGCCCGGAGGAGTGCCTGGGGGCGGCTGGGAGAGAGGGCGAGTGGAGTCGGACTGTTGCGAGGCTGGAGTGCAGGTCTGCTGCCCCCACGGCCTGGGCTTTCTGCCGGTGGACACCGTTTCCACACAAAGTGCCGAGAACCAGGTGTCTCAAAACCAGACACGGAGCTCCTAGCTCGGGACAGCAGAGCTCTGGGGTCGGGTGCTGGCAGGGCCAGGCTCCCACTGGAGCTGGAGGGAGCGTCCCGACGGCCTGGCCTGGCTCCCTGGGCTGCTGGCAGTCCTCGTGTGCCTGGGCTTGTCGAGGTGTCACTGCAGGCTTGTCCCCTTCCTGTGAGGACCTGAGTCCTGTGGTCAGCGTGACCTCATCACAGCTAATCCGTCCATACAGACCCCTTTCCAAATGTGGCTCACATACCGAGGGCCTGGGGTTCGGGCTCCAGGGCCCACCTTTTGGGACCCAGTCCAACTCCTAACACTTGTCTCACTGACGGTACAGATGCTCTCAGCAGTGGGGGTCTTTCTCAACAGCTGTGCCACTCAAGGGCAGTGGGGGCTCCGTAGCTCGGGCACTGTGGGGGAGCCCCCCAGGACAGGGCCAGGGAGCCAAGCGGGGTGCACACCACGCGCCTCTGGGCCTCAGCTCTGCCCCAGCCCATGTGGTCTTGGGGCAGATCCTGTTCCTTCCGTGAGAACTGCCTGTCGTGTGCCCCGGTGCCGTGTGCCCCGGTGCCGTGTGCCCCGGTGTCGTGTGCCCCGGTGCCGTGTGCCCCGGTGAGGCCATGTTGTCCAGATCGGCTCAGAAAGGCCCTCGTACGTGAGTGCACCTCTGTCCGTCTTAGAGAAGCACAGTGCTTCCCTTTGCTGCCCCAGAGTTGTCTGACTGCCGCCTCGACAGGCCCCAGGCTGGGAGGCGACACTGAGCACCCTCCTGAGGGTCCTGAGAGACTGTGGTTGATTGTAGGCCAAACCCATTTGCCTGAGAGTGGGCCCTGGATGGGGAGACGGGGTTTCTTGTCCGCTCTGCCACACTTACTAAATTTTTCAGAACTAAATTTTAGTAGAACTTCATTCCCAGGTTATTCCTGGGTTGTACATCAGTAATGCTGTATAGAGTTCAGCCTTTCAACAGTTAAAGACTTCAGTTTTCCCGAGGGGCATTCTGAAACCCATCGCTGCAGCTTTCTGTCGGACGTCAGCTGACATCTGGTGTGTTCAGGACAGTTCCCTCCCTGCCCTGCCCTGCCGGTTTCCGCTGCGTTTCTGTGGCACTGACCCCAGACTTCCCTCCGCTGCTGCGGCTCACTTTGGGTGCTCCGAGCGCTTCCTGGGTCTGGTGTGATTGTGTCCTGTCCCCGCCGACTTTCTTCCCAGTAGGGGCTTCGCGTTAGAACGCAGCAGTATTCTAGAATGCTCAATAATGCATAGAATGCCCCATCCCAGACCCGCCGAGTCAGAGACCCAGCTTTCTGGAGGTTTCTGATGCAACTCAAGGTGGAGAACCATTGGCCTAGAAGGTTCCTCATTCTTTATTCTTCGGTGTGATTTTGAACTTACAGTACATGTCATCCCGGCTCTTCCCAGTGGTCATGAGAGTTGTTTTCTCCTGTGGTTTATTTCCCAAGGCCTCCCGCAGCGCCGTCCCCTTACAGAGTGGTTATTGATTAGTGCGGGCACGACCTGGAGCTGCTCCCGCCAGAGAATGTGAGCGGAAGTCCTGGACAGCTGTCCTGAGCTCCAGGACAACTGGCTACAGTGTCAGCATTTTCGTCTTTATAGGAAAATGCAGTGTGAGCAGTTTCACTTCTTGTGAAACTGCTTCTTGTGAAAAGTGGCTTGCCTCACGTGGACGGACGGACTGAGGATGAAGGAAAGGTGCCACGCTGCTCCGGGTCCCTCCCGCAGGGCTCCCAGCCCCCCCCCCCTCACGGAGCCTGCTGCTGCATTGACCCGTGGCAGAGTCACGTGTCCCGGAGCGTGGAGCTCGGGCGGAGCTTGGTGCAGTGTGTGCTCTCGAGGGCTGAGACCCAGAGGACCTGAGTTGCTCTTTTAGTTCACTGTGGGTGCCCACGTGGAAAGTCTTTAAATCTGGGTTTCCCCTTCTCTGCTGCAGTGCAGGAAAAATGACGATGGGGATGCCGCTGTCGTCGTGGAGAAGGACCATTTTATGGACGATTTCTTCCATCAGGTAAGGGCCATTCGATGAAATCCAGTCAGACTTTTTTCTTATTTAAAAGACTGGAATGCGTCACGAATTCACGCGTCATCCTTGCGCAGGCGCCATGCTACCCTTCTCCGTGTTGTTCCGGTTGTGCGCACACTGCTGAAGTGAGCACAGACGTTTCTTCTTCCAGCATTACATTGATGTAACTGCATTTGTCCTATTGAAGTAATAGTACCACTAATGTTTTTAAGAGTTGCTGTTTGAATTACATGAGTTCTCTAGGAATTTTTAGTGTTATTAAGACAGGTCCTCGAATCTACCCAGTCCCCTGCTGATGTGCTTTGGGGTGACCTGATCTCTTAAATATGGGGGGAATGTCCTGGTTGCCTAGTGACCGCGACTTAAGAGTCTGAAGCAGCACAGATGTGTGTTCTCTCACCACTCTGGGTGAACCCCAGGTGAGGGTGGGGCCGTGCCCATCAACAGTGCTGGGAGCTGGCCATCCCCTGCTCCCCTCATACCCCCTGCATGGCAAAGCCAGCTCTCGCTTCTTGGTCAGGGGGCCCCTTCGGGAGCTATAACTCAACCTTCTTTTCTCTTTTAAGTACACTTGGGATTATACTGAGGCCCGCCCCCACCGCCTTGCCCTGGAGAATCCAGGGTCATCTCCCCCTTCCCTAGCCTTAGTTTAGTCATGTCTGCAAACTTTCTGTTGCCAGGTAAGGTGACTTTTACTGGTTCCAGGGATTGGGACCTGAGCATTTCAGGGGACATTATTCAGCCTACTGCAGAGCTTTAGGAAGATAATATGGCCCCACCTGGACAGATCTTGCTAATGAATACGTTTAGAAATGAGTACTGAATATTTTGCCTACAGGCCATTAGAGGTAAAAAATAATAACTGTGAAGGCTCCGCCTTATCAAGTGTAAATATCTCCCCAGGTGAGAATGTGACTGCCCGCATATGCTGTGGGCTGAGTTTCTTTCTCCGTGCGTGACTACTGTGTGAGCAGTACACGAATTCTGTGTGAGTGCGGGCATCACTAGTACCATGCTTTTTGGTCGGCATTGTTGTGGTGATACTTGAGTCTCGACTGTGAACATTTTTATAACCTAATGGGCTGGTGGATGTTGATTTATATGCCTAGCTGTACATGGCCCATGTTTTTTGAATTAAGTGAATATCAATGTGTGATGAGAAATGGCTTTTTTTCCCACGTATAATTATTCACCTATTCCCCTTCATTATCCTTTCCTTCATAGGCATGAAAAGTAGTAAGTAACAGGTTTGAATTTGCCACTTGCCACACAGTGATGACTTTCTCTCTCTCTCCTAGGTTGAGGAGATTAGAAACAGTATATCTAAAATAGCTCAGTATGTGGAAGAAGTGAAGAAAAACCACAGCATCATTCTTTCTGCACCAAACCCAGAAGGAAGTAAGTTGTGTCTGTCGTGGGCCTGTCTCTCTTGCTGTGGGTCACAGAGGCCTCAGCCCTTGCTGCACAGGCAGTGGAGCTAGGAGTTGGTCAAACTCACCGGAACCCAGTGGGCCACAGCTCCGACTCCCATGTGAATGGTCCCATGAGCCACGGCATTGGTGGTCAGCCAGGGGAACCACCGCCGGGTACTGTCCACACACTTACAGATAAAGCCAAATGTCCAGTGTATCTGAGAGACTCTGCAGAACTCTGGGCCATGTCAGTGATCAGGCCTTCGACCTGTACTATGCTTACAGTTGAACAGGAAGGAGAATTTCATGTTCGGATGGATGTTGAGTAGGGATTGATTCTGAAAACTCCACCAGTTAGAGCAGGTTCAGAGATGAACAGACAAAGCAGGGGTGGAGCGTGCTGTGGTCAGTGTCTGTGCCGGCGGCACAGAGCAGGTGGTTGGTGGTCAGTCAGCAGTTGGCGTTTCAGGGCGGGGCAGTGAGGAGGAAGAGGTGTTTCCTCCACCTGCTGGCAAGTTTTGGAACCAGGAAGGTGGGTCTGGGGGAGCCAGGGATCATATAGGGGTCTGGGGGAGCCAGGGATCATATAGGGGTCCTCAGACTGCTTTGCGGAACCACTGATACCTTTATAATGTGGAGTCTTTTCACCTAGGAAAGTTCTTGTTCCATCTCCTGTTGAATCTTCTTTATTTGTAACTCCTAAGAAGGATGATCTCTTACATACAGCCGGTGTAACGGTCTAATTTAGAAAGTTAACATCAATTAAGTACTGTCATCTAATCCACAGTCTGAATTCTCGTTTCCCCAGTTGTCCCCATGATGTCCTTTATAACTGTTGCAGATAAACTGCACTTTGCAGATAAAAACTGTTGGTGTGGTGAGCTGAGTCTTTATCAAAAGACGTGTCCCTCTGGGAACGCCCGTGCCTTCATGCCCCTTCCTCTGCCTTGAGAGCCCCACCCACCAGCTTCCCCTGAGGGCTGCGAGCCCAGCATAGAGCCCCGCCCCTCTTCTCTTTGTCATTCTGCCTCCTTATATTTAAGATGTTCCTCATCTCTTGTAAACAAAATGTAGTGGGATTTGTCTTCGTATCCGTATTTCACGCTTTTTTGGTCTGTAATCAGTGCTTTTGGTCTATTTACTAGATTTATTGATGTGTTGGGGCTACCATTTATAACCTTATTTGATTTTTATTTTTCTTGTTCTATGTTATGTTTTCTCTTTTTAATACTTGCTTTTGTAGTGGTTTTAAAAAAATTTATCCTCTCCCCCATTAGCTGGCTCATATGTAGATCCTATTTATCATTTGTTCTTTTAGTGGTTAATCCTATAGATCACAGAATGCAGTCCTGATCTGTTAAAGTCTAATGTAGATCTGTGTTTTCACTACTTCCAAGTAATACAAGGGACTCAGGGAACTTTAACTCATCTCTTTCTACTTCTTTGCTCTTATTGTCATTTATATGTGATAGATGGAAGTAATATATATGTGTATTTATATTTTACATTGTTTTATAGAATTAACAGGCATTTGGACCTATCCACGTATTTCCCCATAACAGAGCTCCCCGTTTCTCCCTGTGTCTCAAAATTTCCCTCTGAGATCATCTTTTTTCTTTTTTTATTAAAAAATTTTTTAAATTTATATTTAGAGAGAGAGGAAGGGAACGAGAGAAACATCAGTGCGTGGTTGCCTCTTGTGTTGCCCCCAAGTGGGGACCTGGCCTACAACCCAGGCATATGCCCCGACTGGGAATCAAACCAACGACACTTTGGTCTGCAGCCTGCGTTCAGTCCACTGAGCTGCACAACCCAGGGATCATCATTTTTCTTTCTAAAAAACTCTTTTAATTAGGTTGTGTTACAGTCTGAAATTACATTTATTTAATTGCATTTCTGAAGGATATTTTTACTGCATACAGGAGTCTAGTTGGGAAGTTATCTTCTTTCACCACCATGAAGAGTTTGAAGATATTTTTCTATTGTCTTTTTTTATTTTTAAAGTTAGCTGCCTAACTGTGGCTTTTAAGACCTTTGGTTTTTGGTCTTTGCATTTAAGAATTTGACTTTGATGTTTCCAGATGTGGTTTTCTTTTTACCTATCCTGCTTTTCATAATGTTCTTGATTCTTTGGATTGATGGTTTTTGGCAGTTTTGGAAAAATCTTGACTAATTTCTCTTCAGAAATTATCTTTGTTCCATTTCCTGCTATTTCTTTTTCTGTGACTTGCATTATATGTATTTTAGACTTTTCCATTGTTCCCTTTATGTCCCTTGTCCCCCGTTTTCTGTTCCTGGTCGTGTTGCCTTATATTTTATTCTGAAATCTTCTCTCTTCAGCTGTTTTCTTTCCAATCACAGAATCTCTCTTCACCTGTTGAATTATTTTTAGTTACAGTATTTTTCAGTTCTAGAATTTCATTTGGTTCCTTTGTATACTGTGCTATTTTTTGACAAAATTCATGACCTTGTATCTTACCCCTTTGAACCCAATGTTGTATGTCCGTCTGTGTCTGGTAACCACATTAGCTGTGCCCTGTGCATCTGGTGGTGGTGTCTGTTGTGTTCGCCTGGTTATTTTTGACTGAGTACTGTACTTTGTACATGAAAACAGGTGACAATAACTTGAGTCCTCTGGTAGTATTTCCTTTTTTCAGCGATGACCTTAAACACTGTGACGGGTGCTGGGGCACTGGCAGTTCTGATTCCAGTTCCCACAGTGACTCAGAGCTTGACTCGGCTTGCCAGGGCCCAGCTTCTCTCTCGCTGCCTCAGCTGCCAAGCTTGGCTCACCTCCCTGGGTTTCCCTCTCCAGGATTAGGCAGATTAAACAAATATTTTGTCCAGCTTTTCTGATTGTTCTCAGCTGGAGGATTGATCAGAATTACCTAGTCTGCTGAAAGGGGAAGTTCTCAATGTCCTATTCTTTTCTCAGTGACTTGAAATACCACTCTTATCAAATACACCTTAAGAGCTGTTTCTGTAGCTTAAAGGATCAAGTGTGGCAGTGCCCCTTGGTGTTCCCCTACCCCTTGGGCTCAGGGACCCACCTTAGCAGGAAGTTCTGCATCTCATCTGAACGTGCCCCAGCCCGTTTGCTTTCTTACCCAGAGAGGCCAGTGCTACTGCACATCAGAAGGCCAGCTGAAGAGCGGGGCTCTGCCTGCCACTGTCCTTGCTTCTGCAGCTCTCAGTGGTTCACACCTGTGTGCACAGTCCAGTGCGTCGCGTCCCTGGCCAGTGTCAGGTGCTCTCTGGGCAGGTCCCAGCACCATTTCTCCTGCTCTGTGTGCACTCTCGCTTAGACGCCCACGCTTGGCTCTCCCTCTCCCGGCATAGCGCTGGGTCTTGGAGAGGGCATTAGCTTCTGCCCCCACAGCACAGGAACCGGCCTACCTTGATTACTGTAGTGGAGGGCAGAAGAGGAATCACACAAATGGGAGACTTTCCTTTTCCAGAATGTGGTTTAAGTTCTGCTTTCCTTTTCTGAGTCTGGGCATTAGTAGTGGATGCGGTGTGCAGTTTCATCCATTAGTTGGTGTGAACCAGCTAGTCTCAGGATTAGGTGTGCACCAGAACCGCCAGGAGGGCTGAGCTCGGGTCTGGCCCCCACCTAGCAGTTCTGTGGAGTGGGTCTGGTGGGGGCCCGGGAATGTGCATGTCTCCTGAGCTCCCAGCTGGTGCTAAGGCTGCTGGCTTGGGGACCAAGCCACTGCTGGCTGAGAACCACTGACACAATCCATGGTTTTTCTAAAGAAACAAACCCACTTGAGCATTTACCAAATACTCCACTTAAGTTTTTTGGACATTACTGATGTTGGACACTATAGCTCAGATGACTTTTTTTTTTTAAATTTTAAAGAAATAAAAGAGGAGCTTGAAGATCTGAACAAAGAAATCAAGAAAACCGCTAATAAAATTCGCACCAAGTTAAAGTGTGAGTTTAAAGCTTTGGTTATGTTTAATCACTGTGGGACTGTGGGTAATTACCATTTTTCCTTTATGATTTTAAACTTCTTTTATATTTTCTAAAGTTAAAACTGTGAGCACTTTAAAGTTAATTTGTGTGTATGTACTTGGGATAGTAAGCCTTTTGTTTAAGCCATTAATTTTCCTAGAATTTTTAAACTACTAGCTGTACAGATGAGGAGCTAAAGCAGATGTTTGTTAGCCCTTAAATTTAGAGGAGCACCCGTTCATGGTCCACAAGATTAAGCACTTGTTTGCAAACTGTTCATCTCTTATCGTGGCGTGTTTCTGACTCTTGGATAACTTGCAGATCCCTGAGAAGGCGGGTAGCCTTTAAAACGCGCTGCCCGGTGCTTGAATGGACCTGTCAGTCAGCAAGTTCTTTTGAACACTTGGTGCTGTTCAGCTGGGTTTACAGTGCTCCATGCTCATTCCAGCAGCAGTGGGTCCTGAGAGGCTTAAGGCTTTCCTGTAGGACGCAGACAGAGGTGGTGTTTTCTTAATGTGGTGGAAAGACATTGTATTTAACTTTTGCAAACTGGCATTCAAGAAAATCTCTGAAGACTAAAAAGGGCTTTGCGTTATGGGAAGTTTCCGACCCGTCTCGAAGCAGGTGATGACTGTCACAGCCCAGTGTCCACACCCTGCAGTGCTGCCTTCTCAGTGACTCCCACCCCACACAGACGGTTTCCAGGCCAATCCCAGACACTGACGACTTCTTCAGTGTGTAGTTCAGTGCGTATTTCTAAAACATAAGGATTTCAAAATAAGGGCCATACACTGTGATTGGTTGGTGTGTCACTTAAAGTTTTTAAAAATCAGCTTCTGCTGCCATCTTTGGCCCCATAGCACTTTTTCTTGTGGTTGGAGAAACCAGGACGTTTGTCTATCAGAATTTGCCATGCTTCAGGGGTTCGCTGATTTCACCCCTATAATGTCATTTAACAGGCTCCAGTGTCCTCTGTACCTCCTGTAGATTGATAGTTAAGTTCTGCAGGCTTGATCAGATTCAGGTATTTTTTTCTTTTACGTGGTTACATATAACATCTGGTTTTATTTTGTGATATTATCCATAATTAATGATTATTACCAAGATCCATACATTTATTAGGTGTTGAAAAGAAGGAAGGGCACTTTGAGGTTTGGCTTAAAGAAGTCCATGTTTTCGTATAAAAGGTAACTCTTTCCTGTTTGTTTCCAGCTATTGAACAAAGTTTTGATCAGGATGAGAGCGGGCACCGGACTTCCGTGGATGTTCGCATACGGAGAACCCAGGTTTGCTTCCCACCCTTCCCTAGGCTGAAGTGATAAGTCCTCTCACTTTATTCTTTCAACTACCAAATAATTTCACCTTTACTGTCATAGTAATCCTGAGATTTCTGCATAAAAAGCCATTATTTCTTCAAAAAGATACAGTATCTCTTTATTACGAAGAAAAAATCTATTTAGCCCATCAGCAGAATTCTGTGTGGAAAAGCGGAGAATTATCTAACTTGTTTTTAATGTTTGAGGCCTCACCTCTCGGAGGTGTATGCGGCGGCACAGTGCGGGGTTCAGACTGCTTAACTCTGCTCGACAAATGGTCATTAAGCATGCAGGTTCTGAGGACAGCCCGTCAGCCTGTCACCAAAGGCTAACTGACCTTTCTTAATCATGGCTTTCATTTTGTGAAGTGGCGGGTAATGAGTATAGGACGGTTGTTGTGAAATTATGTGAGACAATGCATGGGAAGTTCTTAGCATAGATCCTGTTATACAGGAAATTGCTACCATTCTTACTTTCCATTTGAAGGAGTAGCATAATAGTTTGGATTTTCATAATGTGAGGTTTTACACATCATTTTCAATAGAAGAAATGACATATTAATCTAATTTTTCATATGTTAATAGCACTCAGTACTATCTCGAAAGTTTGTGGAAGTTATGACAGAATATAATGAAGCACAGACTCTCTTTCGGGAGCGAAGCAAAGGGCGTATACAGCGTCAGCTAGAAATAAGTGAGTACATGAAAATGCTACCTTGTTAAAAACATTTTCCATCTTAAAGTCTGATATCAAAGTACTATAACTTCAAAAAAGTCATTCCATCTGTTTTTGCCAATCTTATAAAACCTAAAGCCCTTTCATAGCTTCTTGCTTATTGAATCCCAAGCCTGCTACTTCTTTATGTCCTTTAGAAAATTCTAGGCCAGTGGGCTTTAAATAATTTCTAATTTCCATTACTTTTAGAGTGCTGATCACATTTGGAAAACTTTCAGCCATTATTTCTTCAAGCACCTTTCCCTATTCCCCAACCCCTCCTGCCTCATCTTGGGAGATGGCTCCCCATGGGTCTTGGGGCTCTGCTTGTCTGGGGAGCAGACAACAACCGCCCGTTGGCCCCAGGCTACCTTTCACGGGTGTCTGTGTCGCAGTCAGTCTTTCGAGATGGAGCTTGAATCTCCCTGGACACATGACGGTTTGCTCACACCCATTATCAAAGGTTGGTTTCCTCAGCCATGACGCATCCACTGGGGGGGCAGCGTCCACGGACTTGGGGAGTGAGGAACAGCCGTGAAGGTGAACCTCACTGAATGCCCTTTGATCAACTTCGTGGGGACATAACTGACATACTGTGAGGATGCTACTCAGTGCCCAGTGGTTTTTGGTACAGGGTGGGGCAAAAGTAGGTTTACAGTTGCTCACAGAGAAGACACAACAATCATTAATAAATAATAGGATAAACTGTTGCACTACTTACAACTGTAAACCTGCTTATGCCCCACCCCATATATTAGCACGGTCAGTTTTAGAACATTTTCATCAGCCCAAACAAAAGGCCATACCCACCCATTATCAATCCCTCCCTGTTTCCAAGCTCAGAGCCCTAGGCAACCACCTACCCACTTTTCTGTCTTTGTAAATTTGCCCGTTTTGGATGTTTCGTATAAACTGGATCATACAACATACATTCTTTGTGACTGGCCCCTTTTACTTCACAGTTTTTTCAAGGTTCAGCCCCACTGAGCAGGTGTTAGTACTTTATCCCTTTCTGTGGCTGAATCATGTTCCGTCAGGTGGATGGACCATGTTTCATTTCTCATTCATCACCAGGTGATGGGCCTTTGGGTTGTTTCCACTGTTTGGTGATTATGAGTAATACTGCAGTCAATATTCACATCAATGACATTTTAATTATTATGATGTTATTCACTTAATTTTGTCTTTTGTGGCACAAATTGTGAAAAATAGTAATTATCAAATTGTTTTTTTTCAGAGAGCGTTAATACATGAAACTCAAGGTAAAATATTAACAACCAAAACATAGAAAGTATTAAAGCAGCTGATTCTAAATATGCTGTCTTTATTTATGTCCATTTATAATATGCTAAATTCAGCTTACCCCCTTTTTCTACAAGCCAGAGTTAAACTTTCTGGAAAATTGATGTGCTGAAAAATTATGTTATCTATTTCCTTATAGTTGTTTCTCATTTATACTAAAATTAGATTTTATTATTCATTGCAATTAGTTAGGTTTTTCATGAGTGTTTTCCAGCCCCTCCTACTTCTCAGTCTTATGTTAGTTTCTCTCATCATTAACACTTGCCTAAGAAAATATTATATATTCAAAAGGTTAGAAAAACATTGTTTAAAAATGTTAAGAACTCAGCTTTTAGTTGCTGACTTAGGGTGGGAAGTCATTTTTATACATTGTCACATTCTGAGTGCAGTTTTAATTGTTCACCTTTCAGCTGGGAAGACCACAACTGATGACGAGCTGGAAGCAATGCTGGAGAGCGGGAACCCATCCATCTTCACGTCCGATGTGAGTGCCCCATGGGCTGTGGCCGCAGCGTTCATGTGCACGAATGCCTTTCCTTAGCTGCCAAAGCACTCTTAAGTTCATCAGTAGTTCTCTTCTGCTTTTGTTTTCCAAAGATTATATCAGATTCCCAAGTTACTAGACAAGCTCTCAATGAAATTGAGTCACGTCACAAAGACATCATGAGACTGGAGACCAGTATCCGAGAGCTGCATGAGATGTTTATGGACATGGCCATGTTTGTGGAGACGCAGGTACAACTGCAGACACCTTTCCTTCTCTGAAACAGAGAACAGGCATCTCTAACATCCGCTGGTTGACTCCAGTGTTCCTGGGAAAGCCATTAGTTTGGATACACGCTCAAAATTGAAAAGTTAATTGTAATATTATTGTAATATAAGACTGAAATGCTGGGAACAGCTTGAACTTTCAGTAATAAGAGACTGGCTCAATTTATTTAATTATTATGATGTGTCGGGAGGACAGCCTGTTAGGCAACTAGAGGGAATATAGACTTTTGTTCATGAATGATTTTTAATGAAATATACAAATATTGTGCTGGAATTTCAAGAGGGAGCCATGAAATCTTATATGCGCCCATGTGTACAAACATGTAACACGTGCACGAATGACACAACACACATGCATGTCATGTGACATGAACTTGACTACATGAACTAGTATTCAGAGAGGGAAAGAAATATACCAAACAGTATGATAATAGTGGGACTAGAAGAATTTAAGTTTTCTTCTGTAAAGTACATATTTTTAAGTTTTCTATGAAGAACACATATGAGAGTAATAATTAGAAGACATGCTTGAAAGAATAAGCCCCAAAGGGGATATAATCTATGACACAAATGAATGCTTGTACTTATATAGGGTGTTCTTATTTCGTCCAGAATACAGACAGGGAGTGAAGGGGGTATGAAGAGACCCCTGTGAGAGGACTGAAGAATTAAATGCAGTTTTTAAAAACTATGTAAAGTTCGGGCTAAAGTACAAGCTGCTGTGTACTTATTAGGTATGTGGAAGTTTGCCCGGACTCTTGTGGTGCTAAGGGCCCTGCCATTCAGCGGTTTGAGGGCCTGTTAGAATTCAGCTGAGCCCAGGAAGTGAACACATTCCTGTGAGACCACTGTGGGTAAATCGGGACCTCACTCCCATGGAGATTGCTGGCAGCATCTGTCTTGGTGGGAACAGTCCCTCAGAAGGCCCCAATGTGAGTGGCTCATTTGCTGTGATTGCCTGGGCCAGTAGGGAGAGGACACAGTTAGGTAGATGTCCTTCTTCACAGGCCTCACTGACCTTTTGAAGAACACTTTATTTTGAGGAACACTGTCATGAAAACGTGTGTAAAACTCAGGTCTGCATTTGCTAGGAGGAACCAACAACCACATGGGGTTTGACTTGGGCAGACCAGTTGCCACTCATGAAACAAGAAATGGAGTCAGCAGCCTGGTCCAGCAGCTTCTTGTTTTCAGGAAGTATTCTGAAGGAAACCAAGTAGACAACAAGAATACTATGTTATTTTTGTAATTACTAAAGACTTTAGTACTTTAGAGTTTAATTCTAATTGCTGTATGCCAAATGTATGAAGCTCCATTGGAAAAATAGCTGTATTCTTAGCCATTTCATTGTTTCCTTCTTGAAGTCTATTAGTATTGCATTATAATTGACTCATCCAATTTAAAAGACGTGTAGAGCCAACTTAGCGGTGAGTTTCATTTTGCGGATGAGTGAGTTAATTGTGCGTCCTTCTCCAATGCTCTTCTGCTTGATGCTGCAGTTATGTCTGCTGGCGGACAGAAAACCAGGTAATGGTTGCCTCCCCCAAACACGCCACTGCCTTCACCTTGTTTTACATTCTCGCTCATTAATTTAGTCAGCTTAGTGGCAAACATAAGTGGTTCTTAGTTCACTGATATTTTAAAGAAATTGCAACAGTTTTCTAACCAAAAGATGTCATTCCTTGTACGTTGCATTTGTGTGCACAGTAGTAAAATATTAGTTCAACCTCAGGCAGCTGCCTCTTCCCTGTTTTCATCTTTAAAGGTTGTTTACATATTAAAGCATATCTCACGACTCACCTGATATGTCTTTAATTGTCCATATTGTTGTCCATCCCTTTTAGTTCTTTTTGAAATAAAAATTTATTTTGATTACTTTGTATTGCTATATTTATAATGGTCTCATCTTTCCATAAATGTCACAAAGAAATTCGAAATCCATTCCTTCCATGCACAGTATGTTCATTGAAACCTTTATTGATGTTATGTGGCTGTCTTAAGATACATAATTAAGTCATTTGAAAATGTTTTCTGAGTTTGAAACTTTTTGTTTTAAGGGTGAAATGATCAACAACATAGAAAAAAATGTTATGAATGCTGCAGACTATGTAGAACATGCCAAGGAAGAAACAAAAAAAGCTATTAAATATCAGAGCAAAGCAAGAAGGGTGAGTTTGGTTTTTAAGAATTAAAGTGGGTTTTCCTTTTTAGTTTCAAGTTATAATATGCTAATGTAAGCTGACTTAAAAGGTATTCCAAGGAACATAAATTTCTTAACGTTTCATTTAAAAACTGAAGTAATTCTTTTTGCCAAAAAGTTTGGAAGTTTGTTGACAAATTATGTTGATATGAACCCTTCTGTGTTCTAAATAGTTATGACCCTTTACAATGGGAAGTGAGCCACTTCCCTTTTCTAGGTTGGATGGGTTTAAATTCTAGAGTTCTCTGTTTCTTGGGTCATTATTTGGAGGGAGAAAAACTAACGGGATTAAAAATTCTCCTAAAATTCACTGATTATACATTTTAGGCAAAGAACACTGTATTCTCCTTTTAGGTTATTTGCTGATCCTTTGATTTTGGGAATTACTTGAGACTGGACCTAAGATGTTATATAGCATCCACATTTAAGCTTTTTAAATGACTTTGAATATTTTTTATCTGAATCTTAAATGTGTTGTCCTATGAGCCGACAAATCTCTTCTAGGAAAACAGTGACACTACAGCATTAAGTTCTGATTCGGGGACTGGAAAGCTGTGTACATGTGTCACTGTGTCTCTGCCCACCAGTTCTTGGCCATTTTCTTTGATGAAGCCCTAAACCGCTGCTTTCTGTGTGGTTGCCTCCCACTTCCCAGAAGTTGGCCGCTTGGGTCTGCAGGGCTGCAGATCCACTTTGTCAGCGTCGGGCTGGGGAGGGTCTGACAGTGCCCTGTCAACAAAGGCCTTGAAGAGAGAATTTCCAAGTGTTTGGGAGACATGTGGAGTCCGTTTCATGTGCAGATTCACCTGCAGTGACTGCACGCGGACCTTCCCAAACAGGGCATACGTCTGTGCTTTCTGCAGAGAACCTCCCTGTGCTTTTCCTGAGCTTGTCTTACGTGTTCTTTACCTATGAAATGTCAGGCATGGTTTCTCATATTACTCTCTGTTATTGCTTGGCAAGTGCTCACTCTTAAAGTAGAACAAGGCAATGAGGTTCATAGGTAAAGTGCTTAGCCTGTTCCCGGCAAAAAGTGGACTTTTACTTAAAAAAAAAAACACACAAAAAAACATTAGAAAGGGGCAGTCCCTTCCTGTTCTTCATGACCACAGCACTGCATCAGTCTAGTGAACATTTAAATAGAGAGTGTTGGTTTTGCAAAGATGTATGATAGTGGAGAGGTACATCTTCATTCTAAACCTGCTGAGTGAGCCTTGCTTGAGGAGGTGATGGGGTCTGTGCATCTCCCAGTTGCTAGCTGGGTGGAAATGTGATGCCTGGTTCAAAATGGTCACTCTTTTTTCCTGTTAACTGCCTGATGCCTGAAACTATATGGCTTGTTTGATTTACCTATCATTCTGTTCCTCAGGTGCTTTGCTGCTGTCTCTTTTCAGACAATGGCTGTCCCCTCTCTTGGTGTCTGATTTTTATTCCCAGGGCAGCGTGGTGTGGCCTCTGAGCGACCAGGTGGCTGTAGCAGAGTGACTGATGTTACGTGGTGTGGTGGGAGCAGGGAGGGCTCTTACTGCCAACAGCAAACTACAAGAAACGAAAGAGTGTGAGGCATTCTCAACAGAGCACCGATTTCTTAGCTGACTGGGCTGGCTACATAGCTCTGTAGACATGGAAAAATAAGTTATGTATCTCCGTCCATCAGAAATTGACCCAAGTACTGTGCTCATGCAGGTCTCTCATTCATGGAACCTGATATTCTTAAAGTTCTATAACCGTTCACTCCAGATACTAGACCTTAAATTAAAACCACTCTTTTAACAACTAAAAATTGTCAAACAGAATTAGTCAGATGTCCTGTAACTTCGATTTTAAAATGAGTTCTCATGGCTAGTTTTATTTTAAATGAGTGATGTCTTCTAATGTGCCGATAGAAAGTAAACCATGATATAATCAGCTTGCTTTTCTTTGACAGAAAAAGTGGATAATTGTTGCTGTGTCGGTGGTTCTGGTTGCTGTAATTGCTCTAATTATTGGTTTATCAGTTGGCAAATAATGATGTGGATAACGTCAGTGTGTATGCCTCTCTGCTAGCGCAGCAGTAAGTAATCAACTAATATACTTATTAACTTTCTCAATTAGCTAACAGTAGTGCTTGCCCAATTTTAATATGCTTAACAGTGGTATAGGCCCGCAGTGGAGTGCATGCACTAACGTCCTCCAGGCGCATGTGCCGTGCTGTTTCAGTCTCTGGCCGTTATAGGAGAAGAACCAGGCTGCAGGTCGCTCATTTTAAGCCCAGGGCTTCTTCTCACATACTTCCTTTTTAAGTGTCTAGGTTTACTTACATTACTTGGATGTGAGAGTATGGCAGCTAACAGCACCTAGGTGTCTCCCCCCTTTTGTTTTCCATCTGGAAAGATAGTTTCACTCCTTCATTAAGTGTAATAACCATAGCAGTAAAGGTTGGTTCTCGATTAAGAAACTAACACTTAATATTTTAATTTATTTCTTAAACGTTAACTTTTCAAATAATTGCGATAACTAAAACTTACTTTGTGCATATATTTATTCATTGTTTTACTGTGGGATTACAGGGATTGGAACTAAAACTAGGAAAAACCTTCAATGAAACTGAAACTTCCCATCTAACCTCATCCATCTAGTTTAAAAATATTCCCTTATTAAGTGAAGGCACACTGTTTTTTAGGTAGCGTGCCTTTTAATTCTTAAACAATTCTGACTGTAAAAGGCATTCAGTTTTTTAAAGTGTCTTTCTTTTTCACTGTGTGTCACCTTTTCCCAAACTTCAGTAGTCCGGTTTCCTTATACATTTGGTGTCCTCTTTCTTGCACTAACCCTTAAATTAGAATGTTCTCTGGTGTATTAAATTAGAATATACCAGTCGGTTATTTCTCTTCAAATTTTTTTTGGCATAATCATTGTGATTAAAATTGTGAAAGGTACCAGGGTATTTAAGATTGTGACAAGCAGCCCTCGATGAATTCACTGTTTGGTCATGAAAGTGACTGCCAGCTTGATGGACACTTGGCAATTTATTTAAAAAAATAAGATAGCAGAAAGGCATCACTGGTATGGCCAGGTTTCACTGCTGCTGTTCAATTTTTGAGTTTTTTCTCAATGTGACATGTTGCACTCAGCACGCATAGTCAGCACATGAGACCTCCCAGTCAGTGTTTGCACATTCATAAAGCCACAAAATTGCCCTTGACATTTCTTTAGCAGTGAGCTCTGGGATGTTGAGTCTGTTAACGGTCCATTCTTTAGCAGGCAGAAGGGACTCAGAGTAGCTGCTTTTATTAGGCAGGAAGTGTATGTATTACTCTTACTGCTTTCCTATTAGCTCTGCTCAAAAAATGGTGTATGTCATTTTTCTTCCCCAATATAATGGTAGTTTCTTATTTTTTCCTAGTGGCCATACTATGGTCAGTTGAATGTAGTTATACTAAGATAGAATTAACTTTTAGATTGGACCCAGTGAATGGGCTGCTTTTTCATGGGTGTTCTTTGGCAATGCTGATGAATAAAAGGTTCAGTTGTGCAAGGATGCTTGTTAATTTTTTTAAAAGATTTTATTGATTTACCTTTAGAGGGTAAGGGAAGGAGAGAGGGAGAGAAACATCAATGTGTGGTTGCCTCTCATGCGTCCCCTGCTGGGAACTGGCCTGCAACCCAGGCGTGTGCCCTGACTGGCAATTGAACCACGATCATTTGGTTTGTAGGCCCGTGCTCAATCCACTGAGCTACACCAGCTAGGGCTGGATGCTTGTTAATTTAAAAGAAGTTAAATATTATGTGGCCGTGCTTCTGGGCTGTGGGTGCAATGGAAGATCGAGTGAATGGGGCTGTTGATTTCTGACACCCATGCATCATACCTCAATGTAAAAAAATGCATAATAAGATTTTTTTCAACAAATGAGAAATAGCCATTTAAAGTTTTAAAAAGATGTATAGTGCATCTGAGAAATAGCAGTTTGGAATTTTATTATGATCAGTAGAAAGAACCCACATGGTGCGAAGTAGATTTGCCTTTTCCCCTCAGGAGCAAGTAACTATTTTGGTAACACATATTTTAATGTATTAATTTAATTTAATGTACATGTGTCTGTAACTTAGTGTTTTGCTTTTGGAACTTTCCTTCTCTATCTCTCCCTTTTCTGTGACCTATGAAGTTCTTCCTTAATGGGCTGGTATTTTAAACTATCTCAAATTCCAGGAGAATTTTGTTAGGAAATGACAAGTGATTTCTTTCCTTTGATATCTTGCAAATTAATGTTTCTCTTTATCTTGCAGAAAATGATGTTCATTATTATTTGTGTAATTATTTTGCTTGTGATCCTTGGAATTATCCTAGCAACAACATTGTCATAGCAACCATAGCCCAAGAGCCATTTGTCCTTGGAGTCAGACCACATCTGCAGCAAATCAGCATCCTCCCATTTCATGAATGAATCCTAGACATTGTGACGTGTGGCACTGAGTGCTGACTTTATTAGTGGGTTGAAAGAGAACCCACAACAGAATGTATTGTTCAGTGAAAAAGCCATGAGCAGAATGGATGTGATGAGTCAGCCCAAACATCCTTGGACTCTAAATAACACAACACAAACGTGAAACAATGTGAAACTTGTTTCAATGGCCTTAAAATAAGGAATTATTGAAATTTTCATTTTAAAAAATATTTCAGTGTTAAAAATATGTTATGTGAAGTTTAATAATTCGGAATATTTTACATTCTGAAGCCATTGGAGTTGAGGTCTAAGACTTTCTTCCCTTTTCCCAGCTAATAAGGTAATTAAGAGACTTTTGTATTATGTTTAATTTGTGTTTGTTTACTGTTAGCAAAAATAATTATCTCAGAACTGTTTTGTAAGATATCTGTAATTTTCAATGTTTATAAATTGTCTAATATATTAACATCCTTACTTCATTTTTATATATTAAATATTGCCTTTTAAAGAAACAGGTAACTTCATGATGTTAGAGCCATCTTTGCACAGTTGTTTACAAAGTTTGCCATTGGTATAGAAAACATTGGTTGCAAAGCACCCTAAAAAGCCTTTCAAGTGCCTTCTGTTAATAGTGGTTTAAATGTGCCTTAGGCCCTCCAGAAAAGTCTGTTATACTCAGCTCCACTTCCACTTGTTCCATTACCCAGATAATAAATTAGTTACTGCACTGTAAAGACAATGGTCTCTTCTCTCTGTTCATTAAAAATATGGTTTGTTTTCCCCATTTACATTAATAAAGTCTGAAGTTAAGATGGTGATAAAAACCAAGACTTACTACTTTCTAACTCAAGGAAATTATTCCTAAACATTAAGTAATTCTCTTAAACTGTTGTGTAGATCACTTCGATGTTCTTGTTAAGTACCTACTATTCTGCCGAACTTTAAAGTTAATTCCCAAAGTTTATAGGACTCTACAGTAATTAAACATTTTCATTGCTCATGAATGTTTTTATTATAATAATATGCTTTAGACTTGTAAAATGTATGAAATCTTACTAATGAATCTAATAAGGTAGCGACTAGTCAATATTTTAAATGAAGGATACCCAAAATACAGTTAACTTTTGTTACTTCTGTATCTGACTGTATGAGCATGTGACTGTATTTTATCATTGCTTGGTGTGGAAACTTATGTAGTAGATACCCGTGATTCCAAACGATAAGCGTCAATTATACTGAACAGTTTAGAAGCCGTGTCCCTAATTGAATACAGTGGGGAACTCAGTTATAATTTCTACATCTAACTGCTTAGATAAGACTCAGATCTGTATTTATGCATTTTGTTTACTTGCTGATCATCGCTGTATACTCCGAAATATTCTAGGAGCCTTCTGGCTCCAGCACGTGGTCGAGTCCTCGTGGACTGTCAGTGGGGTGCGCTCACTGGCCCGTGCTGACACGAAGATGCGACTGTCCTGAGGATGTGTGAGTAGCGATCACGCTTGTGTGCGTGCACCGTTTGCACACCTGTTGTCTGAGATTGTGCCCACAGGCGCAGCTCTGTGCTGAGCACCCGCCTCTGCTGTCCCCTTTCCTCTTCACATTCAGGCCGCTGTCCGCGCCTCTCACAGGGTGCTCACCGCCTTTTCCAGTCGCTCTTCCCAGGTTCGAAGTACTCACCGAATTTGTGTTTTTGTGGTCGAAGTTAGGAACTGCTTTTTGATTTCTAGTTAAATGTTTAAGTCACTTATCAGATAACACGTTTGTATGTGTAAGCCTCATGTACCGACCTGAAATCGGACTTTTAAAACTGTATTTACAGGTTCATTTGTTACCTTTTTATTATTCAGCTGTTCCGCGTTTACATTAAAAGAAAAAGGAAAACCAAACCACTTACTTTCCGCCTTGTCTTTTCTGGAGAGACACCCGGGGAGACGATCCGTTGCGCGTCAACCGGTCAGTCGCCGCGCTGACGAGTCCCTCTGGCAGCGGCAGCACCGCTCCCGCCGTCGACCCCTGGACGGCCTTTCCGTCCTCACGAGCTTCCGCGGCCCGAGTCCCGGACGGCGGCTGCGGGTCCCGGGAGCCCGGGCGGGCGGGTGGGCCGGCGAGGCAGACCCACGACCGACGGCGGGTGAGGCGCCGGCCGCGCGGGCCCTGCGCTCGCCGCTGCTCTGCGTCCTCCGCACGGTCTTCCCGCCCAACCGGCGTTCCAGCCTCCGAAAGCCTGGGGAACGGCCCCGCCGCTTTGTCGGGGAAGGAGAGCGAACCCGGCAGCCGGCCCCGCACGGTAACCGCAGCCCCCGCCCCGCGCGCCCTGCCCCGGCCACGGGCGGAGCCGCACCCTGGCCGCCGCGGGCTCAGGTCGCCGTCCCCTCGGTCGTCGCCGTCCCGTGCGTTGTTATGTTGCCGCGTCCCTGAGGCCGGCTCCCACGGGGCACCCGAGAACCAGGAAGCTCGAGGGGCCCCGTCACGTCCCGCACGTGTCTAGGACCTGCGTCACCACGTGGGAAGTCACAGCCCAGCCGGCGTTTGCGGGGCAGGAAACGGCGCCGCGTCCGGGCGGGACGGCAAGCAGCGGCGGTGCGCCGAACGCGGTGTCTCCGGCCCTCGCCCCCGACCCGGCTCAGCCGTCCCAGCGAAGGGACCTCGCGGGCAAAGCCGACCCTGGACAGTCGCGGCGTGCCCTCGGGTGCTCACTCGGGAACCGAAGTGCCCCGAACGCCTACGGCAGTGTCACCACTTCCGCTTCTCCAGGTTTGGTCTCTCCGTCCTTCCAGTCAGTTTCTCGGTTCCTCAGAGTTTTTCCTCCCGGTTCCTCAGAGATTCTCCTCCGGGTTCCTCAGAGTTTCTCCCCCGGGTTCCTCGGGTCGGGCCTCCGGGTGCCTCGGGTCGGGCCTCCGGGTTCCTCAGAGTTTCTCCTCCGGGTGCCTCGGGTCGGGCCTCCGGGTTCCTCAGAGTTTCTCCCCTGGGTTCCTCTGGGTCGGGCCTCTCGGCTCCTCAGAGTTTCTCCCTCAGGTTCCTCGGGGTCGGGTCTCCCGGCTTCTCGGAGTTTCTTCTCTGGTTTCCTCGGGTTCAGGCCTCTTGGTTCCTCGGAGTTTCTCCCCCGGGTTGTTTATGGCCGGGCCTACGGGTTTCTCGGGGTCGGGCCTCCCCGTTCCTCGGAGTTTCTCCCCTGGGTTTCCTCTGGAGTCGGACCTTTGGGTGTTACAGAACAGAGGTCCAGGAGGGAGGCAATATTTGGCCTACCAAGGTGTATCAAAAACTGTTAAAGAAAAGAGGGCCCCTCCCAAGAACAGTACACTAATACCTACTGGGTTTGTCCACGACCAATTGGAAAGACATCTCTCAATGCCAGAGATTTCTGAAAAGGAAAGGAAAGGTTTATTCAAAGCTGTACAGACTTCAAGTAGTGACCCAGTGTCCCCATTAGTATATCAGAGTCCTTTAGGATCACCACAGACGCCCACAGCGCTTCCTTCTCCCCCTGCCCTAATTCGGGGTGCTGTATCTCAGGAAAAGAAGCACACGTCTGTATTTCATGCCGCTGGCACCGTCAGCTGTGTCGCCATCTGGGCAGGATCTTCAGTTAACAATCCAAAGCCATGTGGCACCATCTCACGGTCCACTGGCAAAGAGTTCTTTCACCCTTCTTCCAGGCAAAGTCTCTCCTGCTTCCCAGTCCAATGCGGCCAAAGGGAGCACCCCACAGCTGCCTGGGCCTCTTCTACCAGAGCTGCAGGGGTCCCCACTCTGGCCAAAACCACGTGGTTCTTTCACACGGGCAAGAGGGGGTCCTCACTTTGCTAAAATCACTTGACTTCTCCCCCAATGGCTGCCGTGTCTGGGTTTAAATCCCTGTGCCAGTCTTCCTCTGTACCCCTATTTCCGACTCCTCCCACAATCAGTTACACCTGCCAGTATTTCTGTATTATTACAAGTTTATGGGGCTGCCATATGAGTCTGGCAGGTATGGCCCCATGTCCTAGAGCCAATCTTCTCCAAGCTCCCACGCAGGTACTCTAACTCGAGGGACCCGGCCCCCAGTTACATCTTGGGGGGAAGTGACTTCATCCCCCTGGCTCCAAGCCTGGCCACAGCCATTTAACATATCCAAGTGACCCGCCAAAGGCTATAAATATGTTAAATGACCATGCCATGGATTAGCTGCAAGGCTGTGGCTGTACAAAACGGCCCTGCATGTTCCTGCTCCATGTGTACCTTCCCCTACTCACACCTGTGGGGGAAGGGGGAAGGACATCATATATGTCTCTTCAATAATTCCTATACACCTTGAGTTCTGGACACCATTCCAAATCCCTTTTTGCCCCCCCTCCCCTTGGCTGCACCCTGTGTCACGGGTTCCTCAGGGTTGCTCCTCCTTGTCCCTTGGGGTCAGGTCTTGGGGTTCCTTGGGGCCACTTCCCATGGTTCCTCAGAGTCCTCATGGGAGAGCCCGCCTGTCCTCTGTCCTTGAGACACCTGCAGGACCTGGGGAATGAGTCCAGACAACAGGGTAGCACGAGCATGGGGCGTCCCCACCCTGGTGGCCCCAGGTCTGGGCTGCTGAGTGCAGCCAGAGTGCCACGGTGTGCACCCAGCAGGGTGATCTGTACTGGTTGTGCCTCCCCGGCTCCTGTCTGTCCAGGTGGTCCAGTGACACCATGGCTGCTTCTGCGTGGCGGTGTGGAGGTTCTGCTGCCTTCCATGCTGGTGGAGCTGTCTGTGGTCTGCTTGTGTTTGCGGGTGAGCTGAACGGTTCTCCGTGGCAGCACCACCAATGGGGGGGGGTGACAGCGGCAGATCTTTCTGTGTCGCTGCCCAGAGGCGGTGTCGAGCCTGTGGACAACCGTACGTACCCCTGGACTGGTACCCCCAGTGCGCCCGGGGCAGGTGGCTGGTGGCTGAGACATTTTGGGGGATGTGGAGCTGGGGGTGCAAGGTGGGCAGCAGCATCATGTGAGGACAAATCTGTATCCCCTCCCCCTGCCCGGCGTTCACCCATAGTTAGGGCCACTTTTCCAGAGAGAAGATTGCCGGAGATCCGTGTGGTGCAGTGGGGTCGGGGCAGTTGTCTGAAAGAAGGGGAGTGGGTGGAGCCTGCTCGGAGGGGGCAGGGCCTGCTGCCCTTCTGCGGCTCTGATGCAGGGGCCACAAACTGGTTGTTCCTCTGAGCGCAGTTTGCTTCTTTGCGCAACTTGGGTTGTATCCCTTTGATGTGGGAAACCTGTAGCCATATACTGCCCTCCAGCAAGGATGTGTGTGGGTCCCCCCTTTTAATTCATGGAACATGCGGCTCTCTCACTTAATCGATATAGACTGCCTGTATGCTGGGCAATATTCCCTGGGCTGGGGAGACCTCGGTGGACGGCCCACGTGCAGTCCCTGCCCCCACAGGGCTCATCATCTAGGAGAGGGACACGGGCAGCACACACAGTGACTGAGTAAGGTGTAGAGCGTGTCAGGTGGGATGAAGTTTTGGAGGAAAATGAGTCTCCAGAGGATGAAGAGTTCTGGGGCATGGAGCTTGTGCTTCCGTCTGCAGGGTGGTGAGGGAAGGTCAGACTGAAAGGTGACATCTGAGTGGTGACATGAAACAGGTGAGAGAGTGTGATCCACTTGGATTTCCGGGGAAGAGGAGGCAGCATGTGCAAAGTTCCCAGGGTCTGTTAGAAGCTGGTGGTAGGAAGTGGCCGGAGGCAAGGTTCGAGGCTAAGTATGTGTGTGTGTGTGTGTGTGTGTGTGTCTTGTGGGCTGGCATAAGGACTTTGTCATACGGACAAAAATGGGAGTCCCTGGAGCGCATACACAGATAACTGATCCGACTTCCATGTCTTAGTGGCATTGCCCGGCCCCCCTGTGTTGAGACATCTGGAGGAGGACACGGATAGAAGGAGGATGACCAGTTAGCAGGTGACTGGGGTCTTTCACAGACCACAGCAGAAATGCTTTTGAGGTCCATATGCTGCCGTATAGGAATGCAGTGTCTAATCTAAACCATGATGGACCTTCAGGGATGAACACTGAGCTCGTTGCGGGACCGAGGAGACCGGGGCAGTGCCAAGGCTCTGGCTCACGGGCAGCTTGCTGAGAGGTTTGTCTCTGGAGTCGGGAGGCCGGTGCCCACTGCGGACATCTGAGTGCAGCCACAGCTGCTGTATTTGAAACACCGTGACTCATGCTGCATGCACTCCCACTTGCCGCCCGCCAGAACTCTCTGCCTCGGCAGTCAGATGGGAAGCAGAGTCGTGAGCAGGGTATTTTGGGCAGCCTCTCAGCAGAGGTAACACCAGCCAGGCAGACATCCTCTCCTCCTGAGAGATTCTCCTGCGGATTCTGACTTGAATGCACAACTTCCTTTGCTGGTCCCTGGGACAACGACAGTGTGGAACTGGGACGGTCTCCCTGGCTGCTAGCACCGGCCTGGGCCGTTCAGATGGAGCTTGATCCGTGAAGACGTGAGTGCCGCAGGTCTTGTTAGTGATGGTTTTCCTTAGGGGTTGTGTGTCTGCGGAATTGTACGTGGGAATCGGAGGGTCTCTAGAAGGGCCAGGGTGGAGGTGCAGGCTTGGGGAGGGAAGGGCAGACACAGGTGTTTCTACAAAGGCTCATTGGCAGGATCAGGTGACCAGCTGGATACTGCAGGTGAAGCATTTTCTGGAGCCAAAGACCGTTTGGGGTCCATGTTCAGTCGTGTCCATTGAGGGGGACGCTGGGGTGGGAGGATGGGCATGGGCGAGCTGAAAATTCTGGTTAGGGTGCATGTTCATCTGAACAGCGAGGTGCTGGGTTTTACGAATTTAAACAATGCATCTCATGTGCTAAGCCTGTTCCATCTATGAATAAGGTTGAGATCATTTAAATGACCAGATTTCATAGATCCGAAGACACATTTCCCTCCTCCC